GTTGTGGCCCCCCCCAGCGGCGCCCCCTGCGTGAGGCCTCAGCGCACAGGTGGGGGGCAGGCACGTGTGGGGCTGCCCCATAGAATGGGGGGGTGAGGCTCTATGGGGTTCCATGGGTGAGGCTCTATGGGGCTCTATGGGGTTCCATGGGGTGAGGCTCTATGGGGCTCTATGGGGTGTCTATGGGGTTCCATGGGGTGAGGCTCTGTGGGGCTCTATGGGGTGTCTATGGGGTTCCATGGAGTGAGGCTCTATGGGGCTCTATGGGGTGTCTCTGGGGTTCCATGGGGTGAGGCTCTATGGGGCTCTATGGGGTGTCTATGGGGCTCTATGGGGTGAGGCTCTATGAGGCTCTATGGGGCCCGATGGGGCTCTATGGGGTGTCTATGGGGTGAGGCTCTGTGGGGCCCTATGGAGCTCTGTGGGGTCTCTATGGGTCCCTGTGGGTCTCTATGGGGTCTGTATGGATCCCTATGGGCTCTATAGGGTCTCTATGGGTCCCTATGGGTCTCTATGGGGCGCAGCCTCCGCAGTTCCTGCGGCCATTTTAAGCCTCCGGCTGCGGAGGCCGCGACACAAAATGGCTGCTGGGGGGGGGGGGGGGGGGAGGAGAGAAGCGGGGGGGGGGCAGGAGCTGTGGGGCTGGAACCCTGTGGGGCAGAGACCCCGGCCCATAGCACGGAGACCCCCCTGCCCCATAGCATGAGGGGACCCAGCCCCATAGCATGGGGGGGGGGGGGGGGGGGGGCAGGAAGTTGCTATGGGGGGGGGCGGGGCCAATCTATGGAGATTAGGGGGGATGTGTGGGGCTGGGACACCCCAAATCTATGGGGCTGAGGAAGCCCTGAAGTGTGGGGCTGGCGGACCCACACGCAGTGGGGCTGCCCGGGCCATAGGGACCCAGAGGCACCCCCATAGGAGGGACCCAGGACTGCATCCGACCCCACAGAGCAGCCCCAGCCCCAGCCCTGGCCCCATAGAACAGCCCAGCCCTGGCACCGGCCCCATAGAAGAGCCCCCCGCCATCATCCTGCCCCATAGAACAGCCGGGCCCACTCCCAGCCCTATAGAACAGCCCCAGCCCCACATCCAGCCCCACACCCAGGCCCATAGAACAGCCCCAGCCCACCACTGGCCCCATAGAACAGCCCCAGCCCACCACCCGGCCCCATAGAACAGCCCCAGCCCCTCATCCTGCCCGTAGAACAGCCCCAGCCCCACACCCAGCCCCATAGAACAGCCCCAGCCCCTCATCCAGCCCATAGAACAGCCCCAGCCCCACATACAGCCCTCACCCAGCCCCATAGAACAGCCCCAGCCCCATAGAACAGCCCCAGCCCCACACGCAGCCCCATAGAACAGACCCAGCCCCTCATCCTCCCCATAGAACAGTCCCAGCCTACCCCCAGCCCCATAGAACAGCTCCAGCCCCATAGAACAGCCCCAGCGCCACATCCAGCCCCATACCCGGCCCCATAGAACAGCCCTAGCCCATAGAACAGCCCCAGCACCACATCCAGCCCCATAGAACAGCCCCAGCCCCACCGCTGGCCCCATGGAACAGACCCAGCCCCTCATCCGGCCCCATAGAACAGACCCAGCCCCTTCATCCGGCCCCATAGAACAGCCCCAGCCCCACACCCGGCCCCATAGAACAGCCCCAGCCCCTCATCCTGCCCCATAGAACAGTCCCAGCCCCACACCCAGCCCCAGAGAACAGCCCCAGCCCCTCATCCTGCCCCGTAGAACAGCCACAGCCCCACATGCAGCCCCATAGAACAGTCCCAGCCCCACCCCTGGCCCCATAGAACAGCCCCAGCCCCTCATCCTGCCCCATAGAACACTCCCAGCCCCACACCCAGCCCCATAGAACAGCCCCAGCCCCTCATCCTGCCCCATAGAACAGCCCCAGCCCCACATCCAGCCCCATAGAACAGCCCCAGCCCCTCATCCTGCCCCATAGAACAGCCCCAGCCCCACACCAGGCCCATGGAACAGCCCCAGCCCCACATCCAGCCCCCACAGAACAGCCCAGCACCACATCCAGCCCCATAGAACAGCCCCAGCCCCACACCCAGCCCCATAGAACAGCCCCAGCCCCACATCCAGCCCCATAGAACAGCCCCAGCCCCACACCCAGCCACATAGAACAGCCCGAGCCCCGCATCCAGCCCCATAGAACAGCCCCAGCCCCACACCTGGCCCCATAGAACAGCCCCATAGAACAGCCCCAGCCCCATAGAACAGCCCCAGCCCCTCATCCTGCCCCATAGATCAGCCCCAGCCCCTCATCCAGCCCCAGAGAACAGCCCCACCCCCACACCTGGCCCCATAGAACAGCCCCAGCCCCACACCCAGCCCCATAGAACAGCCCCAGCCCCTCATCCTGCCCCATAGAACAGTCCCAGCCCCACACCTGGCCCCATAGAACAGCCCCAGCCCCATAGAACAGCCCCAGCCCCTCATCCTGCCCCATAGAACAGCCCCAGCCCCACACCTGGCCCCATAGAACAGCCCCAGCCCCATAGAACAGCCCCAGCCCCTCATCCTGCCCCATTGCCCACAGGTGCTGAGCGCGGCGCTGGAGCTCCCTGAACCGGACGAGCGGCGCCCCCTGGGCCCTGCCCCCCCCAGCGCCCCCCAGCGGCCCCGCCCTGCCCGGAGCCTTCCCCTCCCCCCCGGGCATGGAGGGGGGGGGCGGGGATGGGGGAGGGGCGGTGGATTTGAGGTGGGGGGGAGGGAGCGTGAGGTGGCATCGACATCGTCATTGGCACAATGGCGTTGACGTCATCAGTGACGTCATTGGCTTCGTCGTCGTTGGCATCGATGGCACCGGTGGCGTTGACGTCGTCAGTGACGTCATTGGCATCGTCATCGTCGGCACCGGTGGCCCCAATGGCATTGACGTCAGTGACGTCAGCGGTACCCGTGGCGTTGACGTCGTCATCATCGAGGGCGTCAACGGCACCCATGGCATTGACGTCATCGTCATCCACGCCCTTGGCGCTGACGTCATCATCAGTGACGCCGGCGACGCCGTCGGCATCAGCGTCGGCGCCAACGGCATCCTTGGCGCCGTTGGCATTGACGTCATCATTGGCGCCATTGGCACCGTTGGCATTGACATCATCAGCCTCGTTGGCGCCATTGACACCGTTGGCGTTGACATCATCATCATTGGCGCCGTTGACCCCGTTGGCATTGACGTCATCGTCATCATCGTTGGCGCCGTTGACCCCGTTGGCATTGACGTCATCGTCCTCGCCATTGGCCTCGGCAGCGGCCGTGCCGTTGGCGCCCTTGACGCCATCATCGTCCTCATTGACGCCGTTGGCATTGACGTCGTCGTCGTCACCGTTGGCGGCGGCAGCAGCAGCGTTGGCACCGTTGGTGGCAGCAGCAGCATCATTGGCACCGTTGGCGCCGCCATCGTCGTCGCCGTTGAAGCCATCGCCGTCATCAACGTCATCACCGTCGACATCCTCATTGACTCCATTGACAGCATCATCACCATCGTTGACTCCATTGACCCCACCGTCATCCTTGGCGCCATTGATACCCTCATTGGCACCATTGGCATCCTCATTGACTCCATTGGCACCACCATCCCTGACCCCATTGGCACAACCATCATTGACCCCATTGGCACCGCCATCGCCAACCCCATTAGCACCACCATCATTGACCCCCATTGGCACCACCATCACCATCATTGACCCCATTGGCACCACCATCATTGACCCCATTGGCACCACCATCACCATCATTGACCCCCATTGGCACCACCATCGCCATCAGTGACCCCATTGGCACCACCATCATTGACCCATTGGCACCACCATCGCCATCAGTGACCCCATTGGCACCACCATCATTGACCCCATTAGCACCACCATCACCATCATTGACCCCATTGGCACCACCATCACCATCACTGACCCCATTGGCACCACCATCGCCATCACTGACCCCATTGGCACCACCATCACCATCACTGACCCCATTGGCACCACCATCGTCCTCCTCGCCAGTGGCCGTGCCTTCGCCTCGGCGCCGGCGCTCGCCTTCCACCTGAAGCTGCACCGGGGCCGCCGGGGCCTGGGCTGCCGGCACTGCGGGAAGAGCTTCATCCACGTCAAGAGGCTCCAGACCCATGAGGTGCTGTGCAGGGACGGGACAGCGCCATGGCCAACAGCACCATGGCCAACAGCACCGTCACCCACAGCACCATGGCCAACAGCACCGTCACCAACAGCACCATGGCCAACAGCACCGTCACCAACAGCACCATGGAGAGCACCGTGGCCAACAGCGCCATGGCCAACAGCACTCTGACCAATAGCACCATGGAGGGCACCATGGCCAACAACACCATGGCCAATAGCACTGTCACCAACAGCACCATGGAGAGCACCAATGGCCAACAGCGCCATGGAGAGCACCGTGGCCAACAGCACCATGGACAGAACCATAGCCAACAGCGCCATGGAGAGACCCATGGCCAACAGTACCATGGACAGAACCATAGCAAACAGCGCCATGACCAACAGCACCATGGAGAGACCCATGGCCAACAGCGCCATGACCAACAGCACCATGGAGAGCACCATGACCAACAGCACCATGGCCAGCAGCGCCATGGCCAACAGCACTATGGCCAATAGCACCATGAGAGCACCATGGTCAACAGCACCATGGACAGAACCATAGCCAACAGCACCATGGAGAGCACCATGGCCAACAGCACCATGGCCATCACCAATGGCGCCATGGTGGGCAGTAGCACCCAGACAGTACCCATAGGACCATGGTGGGCAACGGCACCGTCGTGGTCAAGAGCTCCATGGACTCCGCGTCATGAGCAATAGCACCATGGACACCACCACCATGAGCAATAGTGCCAACACCATGAAGGTCAACAGCACCATGGCCACCACCAACACCATGAAGGTCAACAGCCCCTTGGGCTCTGCCAATGGCACCATGGTGGTCACAGCACCATGGCCACCACCAACACCATGGTGGTCAACAGCACCATGGCCACCACCGACGCCGTGAAGGTCAACAGCAGCATGGCCACCACCGACACCATGAAGGTCAACAGCACCATGGCCACCACCAACACCATGGTGGTCAACAGCACCATGGCCACCACCGACACCATGAAGGTCAACAGCCCCATGGGCACCGCCAACGGCACCATGGTGGTCAACAGCACCATGGCCCCCACCGACACCATGAAGGCCAACAACACCACCGTGCCGGCCAACAGCACCAACACCCTACTGGGTAGCAGCGCCATGACGACGGTGGCCAACAGCCCCATGGATGCCCCCAACGCCCCCAAGATGCCCACCGACGGCTCCACCGCGGACAACCCTACTCCAACCACCGATACCCCCCCCACCCCGATGCCCGCTCCCACCACCACCACCACCACCACCACGAGCACCCCCCCCAAACCGGGCAAGAAAGCCCTTTGCTGCGGCACCGCGCGTTGGAGCTGGCCCCGGAGCAAGACGCCGTGGTCAAGGTGGTCGACGGCCACTTGGTCTACGTGTGCGGCACCTGCCACCGCTCCTACATGACCCTGTCGAGCTGAAGCGCCACGCCAACGTCCACTCGTGGCGCCGCACCTACCCCTGCCGTTACTGCGACAAGGTCTTCGCCTTGGCCGAGTACCGCACCAAGCACGAGGTTTGGCACACGGGCGAGCGCCGGTACCAATGCGTCTTCTGCTGGGACACCTTCGTCACCTACTACAACCTCAAGACCCACCAGAAGACCTCGCACGGCATCAACCCGGCCTTGATCTCCTCCGAGAAGACGCCCAACGGCGGCTACCGGCCCAAGGTGGACGCCTTGAAGCTCTACCGCCTGCTCCCCATGCGGGCCCACAAGCGGCCCTACAAGACCTACAACCAGGAAGGCTTCCTCGTGCCGCCGCCGGCCCCGGCGCCGGCCCCGGCGCCCGCCTCCGTCATCGCCTACGGGCCGTCGCCTTCGGTCATCGTACGCAACAGCGCCGCCGTGCCGCCCATCAAGAAGCAAGTGCTCAAGGAGTACGTCGAGGCGCAACAGGCGGCGGCGGTGACGGTGACGCCGGCGCCGCCGCCGCAACCGCCGCCGGGCGACAGCCGGACCATGACGTACGTGGCCAAACCGCGTGCTCGGGGCCGCTGGGGGGGCTGTTGCCAGATCACCGTGCGCATCGGCCAGGAGGCCGTTGTCAAGCGGAGCATCGCCGAGAGCCACCTGCACCCGCCGGCGACAGGCGGCGACGGCGACGCCGAGGAGCGGTTGTGGGGCTACAGCCCCAAAGCCAAGCGGAAGGCGGGGGCCGGCGATGGGGTGAACCCCGCCGCGTGGCGCCGGGGGTGGGCAACACCCGTGCGGGGTGTGCGGGAAGAGCTTCGCGGCGCTGCGGAAGCTGCGGCGGCACCAGCGGGGCCACGCGGAGCCCGGGGGGGACCAAGGGGGGACCCCGGCCCCAGCGGCGCGTGTGGGGCGGCGTCCGGCCCTGCGCTTCGCCTGTAGCCGCTGCGTGAAGGTGTGCAGGACGGCGGCGGCGCTCAGCCGGCACCTCAAGAGGCATCAGGCGGAGCTACAGGCGGAAGAAGGGGGTGTTGGGGGGCAGGAGGGGGCGGCGGCGGCCCCATAGAAGGGGCAGGGGGTGCGGAGGGGGGCGAGGAGGCGCCGGGTGACAAAGAGGCGGCGGGTGACGAGGAAGCGGCGGGTGACAACAGGCGGACGGGGGAACCCCGGGCGAGGGGTGACGCGGCGCTGACGTCACCCCCCCCCGCCGTGGGCGGGGTTTACCCCGTCCAGGATCAGCCATTGGCTCTGCTGAGGCGGGGGGCAGGGAGGACCCCAACCCCCCCCCCCCCCCCTCCCGCCCCACACTTTCACTTTCCCCGCCAGTGGGGGAGGGGGGGGGAGGAGGGGAGCGCCCTGCCCCATAGACGGGGGTGGGGGGGAGCCCGTAGAATGAAGAGGGGGGGGGACCCATAGGAAATGGGGGGCCCTTGAGGGTGAGTTGGGGGTCTGGCCCCATAGAGAAGGGTCCTGCCCATAAACAAGGGCGGGGGGGGGGACACGCCGTAGAATTGTGGGGGCCCCATAGGAGACGAGGGGGCCCCATAGCATATGAGGGGGTTCCTTGCCCCATAACAAAGGGTCCTGCCCCATAGATGGGGGGGGGGAAGGGGGGAATAAGGGACCCCCCCCACTATTGCCCCACCCCCTCCCCCCCCCCACTTTAGGCCCCTCCCCCTATAGCACCTTATGGCAGCCACATTCCACCCCTCCCCCAAGGGGCATGCGAGGCCTCATGTCTTCCTATGGGGGGGAGGGGGGCTTAGCCCCGCCCCCCCGCCCCGCCCCCCCCCCCCCCATTGCAATGAATGGGGCTTGCACGGGGGGGGGGAGGGAGGGGGGAGGGTCTTGTCCAAGCCCCGCCCCCTTCACACCCACCCCCCCACCCCCCTCCCTTTGCACTTTGATGGCCGCATTTGCTACTGACCGGCCCCGCCCCCTTCCCCCTTTAGCCACGCCCCCTTTCTATTGGCCACGCCTCCTTCCCCTCCTTTAGCCACGCCCCTCTCCCCCATTGGCTCCACTCCTTCCTATTGGCCACGCCCTCCCCTCCCCTTCCGCACTGGCTCCGCCTCCTTTGTCTTGACCACGCCCCCCCCCCCGCCTTGGCCCCGCCCCCCCCCCCAGCAGCGAAGCCCCACCCCTAAAAGACTCAACCAATGGGGGACCGCCCGGCCAGCAGGGGGCGCTAGAGCGGGGGGGCAATGGGGAGGTCTCAATGGGATCGTCCAATGGGGCGGCCCCAATGGGGTGACCTCAATGGACACGTAACCAATGGGTGACCTCAATGGAGATGTAACCAATGGGGTGGCACCAATGGAGATGTAACCAATGGGAAGACCTCAATGGACACGTAACCAATGGGGTGGGCACCAATGGGTGACCTCAATGGGGATGTAACCAATGGGGTGACCTCAATGGACACGTAACCAATGGGGTGGCCTCAATGGAGATGTAACCAATGGGTGACCTCAATGGACACGTAACAATGGGGTGGCCTCAATGGAGATGTAAACCAATGGGGTGACCTCAATGGACACGTAACCAATGGGGTGGCCTCAATGGAGATGTAACCAATGGGGTGGCCTCAATGGAGACGTAACCAATGGGGTGGCCTCAATGGACACGTAACCAATGGGGTGGCACCAATGGAGATGTAACCAATGGGGTGGCCTCAATGGACACGTAACCAATGGGGTGGCCTCAATGGGGATGTAACCAATGGGGTGACCTCAATGGAGATGTAACCAATGGGGTGGCACCAATGGAGATGTAACCAATGGGGTGGCCTCAATGGACACGTAACCAATGGGGTGGCCTCAATGGACACGTAACCAATGGGGTGGCCTCAATGGGGATGTAACCAATGGGGTGACCTCAATGGGGATGTAACCAATGGGGTGACCTCAATGGAGATGTAACCAATGGGGTGACCTCAATGGGGATGTAACCAATGGGGTGGCCTCAATGGAGATGTAACCAATGGGGTGACCTCAATGGGGATGTAACCAATGGGGTGGCCTCAATGGAGATGTAACCAATGGGGTGGCCTCAATGGAGATGTAACCAATGGGGTGGCCTCAATGGGAACGTAACCAATGGGTGGCCTCAATGGAGATGTAACCAATGGGGTGGCCTCAATGACACGTAACCAATGGGGTGGCCTCAATGGAGATGTAACCAATGGGTTGGCCTCAATGGACACGTAACCAATGGGGTGGCCTCAATGGAGATGTAACCAATGGGGTGGCCCTAGTGGATATGTAACCAATGGGGTGGCCCCAATGGAGATGTAACCAATGGGGTGGCTCCAATGGGGTGGCCTCAATGGAGATGTAACCAATGGGTGGCACCAATGGAGACGCAACCAATGGAGATGCAACCAATGGGGTGGCCTCAATGGAGACGTAACCAATGGGGTGGCCTCAATGGGGACGTCCAATGGGGTGGCCCCAATGGAGATGTAACCAATGGGATGTCACCAACGGAGACGTAACCAATGGAGATGCGACCAATGGGGTGGCCTCAATGGAGATGCAACCAATGGGGTGTCACCAATGGAGACGCAACCAATGGAGATGCCACCAATGGGGTGGCACCAATGGGTCTGTAACCAATGGGGTGGCCTCAATGGGGTGACCTCAATGGAGATGTAACCAATGGAGATGCCACCAATGGGGTGGCACCAATGGAGATGGCCTCATGGAGATGTAACCAATGGGGTGGCCTCAATGGGGACGTCCAATGGGGTGGCCTCAATGGAGACGCAACCAATGGGGTGGCCTCAATGGGGACGTCCAATGGGGTGGCCCCAATGGGGTGGCCTCAATGGAGACGTAAACCAATGGGGTGGCACCAATGGGGTGGCCTCAATGGAGATGCAACCAATGGGGTGGCCTCAATGGAGATGCAACCAATGGGGTGGCCTCAATGGAGATGCAACCAATGGAAGGCCCCAATGGAGATGTAACCAATGGGATGGCCTCAATGGAGATGCAACCAATGGGATGTCGCCATGGGGTGGCTTCAATCAGGGACGCCCCCATCGGGTGCCCCATGGCGAGGGGTCCCCCAGGGGTGTGGGGCGCCCCATAGCGGTGGCGGTGCCGAATGTCCACTATTTATCTGCATCAATAAACACCTTAGAGCTGAGCTGCATATGGGGCGCTATGGGGAACGTGGGGTGCTATGGGGAGACGTGGGGGTATGGGGATATAGGGGGACATGGGGGGAATGGGGATGTGGGGGGGTATGGGGACATGGGGATATAGGGGGACATGGGGTATGGGGATGTGGGGGGGTATGGGGACATGGGGATATAGGGGACATGGGGGTATGGGGACATGGGGGGCTATGGGGGATATGGGGGCTATTGGAAACATGGGATATAGGGGAACATGGGGGGAAATGGGGATATAGGGGGACATGGGGGGAAACGGGGATATAGGGGACTGGGGGGTATGGGGATGTGGGGGGGGTATGGGGAACATAGGGGTATGGGGGGGACATGGGGGTATGGGGGGACATGGGGGCCTATGGGGGACATGGGGGCCTATGGGGGACATGGGGGGCTATGGGGGATATGGGGGCTATTGGAAACATGGGGATATAGGGGGAACATGGGGGGAAATGGGGATATAGGGGGGACATGGGGGCTATGGGGATATAGGGGGGACATGGGGGACATGGGGATATAGGGGGGACATGGGGGGCTATGGGGACATGGGGATAGAGGGGGGACATGGGGATATAGGGGACATGGGGGCTATGTGGGATATGGGGCGCTATGTGTGGACACTGGGAGCTATGGGGTGCTATGGGGACATGGGGGCCTATGGGGATATGGGGATATCGGGGGGACATGGGGGCTATGGGGGACATGGGGGGTATGGGGACATGGGGGGCTATGGGGGCTATGGGGCGCTATGTGTGACACTGGGAGCTATGGGTGCTATTGGGGACATGGGGGTATAGGGGGGACATGGGGGCTATGGGGACAAGGGGGAGGTATGAGGACGTGGGGCTATGGGTGTCTATGGGGGCTATGGGGGGCAATGGGGATATAGGGGACATGGGGGGGCTATGGGGGCTATGGGGCCTATGTGTGACACTGGGAGCTATGGGGGGCTATGGGGACATGGGGGGCTATGGGGGACATGGGGGGTATGGGGGGTATGAGGACGTGGGGCTGTGGGTGTCTATGGGGGCTATGGGGGGCAATGGGAGATATGGGGAGCTATGTGTGACATTGGGGGCTATGGGGATATGGGGGGTACGGGAGGACATAGACGTGGGGGCTCATGGGGGGCTATGGGGGGCTGTGGGTGCTGACCTGTGGGTCTATGGGGGGCTGTGGGTCTATGGGGGGCTGTGGGTGCTGCCCTGTGGGTCTATGGGGGCTGTGGGTCTATGGGGGGCTGTGGGTCTATGGGGGCTGTGGGTGCTGACCTGTGGGTCTATGGGGGGCTGTGGGTCTATGGGGGCTGTGGGTGCTGACCTGTGGGTCTATGGGGGGCTGTGAGTCTATGGGGCGCTGTGGGTCTATGGGGGGCTGAGTCTATGGGGGGCTGTGGGTCTATGGGGGCTGTGGGTGCTGACCTGTGGGTCTATGGGGGCTGTGGGTCTATGGGGCGCTGTGGGTCTATGGGGGCTGTGGGTCTATGGGGGCTGTGGGTGCTGACCTGTGGGTCTATGGGGGCTGTGGGTCTATGGGGGCTGTGGGTGCTGACCTGTGGGTCTATGGGGGGCTGTGAGTCTATGGGGCGCAGTGGGTCTATGGGGGGCTGTGGGTGCTGACCTGTGGGTCTATGGGCACTGTGGGTCCATGGGGGGCTGTGGGTGCTGACCTGTGGGTCCATGGGGGGCTGTGAGTCTATGGGGCGCAGTGGGTCTATGGGGGCTGTGGGTGCTGACCTGTGGGTCCATGGGGGGCTGTGAGTCTATGGGGCGCTGTGGGTCTATGGGGGCTGTGGGTGCTGACCTGTGGGTCCATGGGGGGCTGTGAGTCTATGGGGCGCAGTGGGTCTATGGGGGGCTGTGGGTGCTCACCTGTGGGTCTATGGGGCGCTGTGGGTCTATGGGGGCTGTGGGTGCTGACCTGTGGGTCTATGGGGGGCTGTGAGTCTATGGGGGCTGTGAGTCTATGGGGCGCTGTGGGTCTATGGGCGCTGTGGGTCTATGGGGGCTGTGGGTGCTGACCTGTGGGTCTATGGGGGCTGTGGGTCTATGGGCGCTGTGGGTGCTGACCTGTGGGTCTATGGGGGCTGTGGGTCTATGGGGCGCTGTGGGTCTATGGGGGCTGTGGGTCTATGGGCGCTGTGGGTGCTGACCTGTGGGTCTATGGGGGCTGTGGGTCTATGGGGCGCTGTGGGTCTATGGGGGCTGTGGGTCTATGGGCGCTGTGGGTGCTGACCTGTGGGTCCATGGGGGGCTGTGAGTCTATGGGGCGCAGTGGGTCTATGGGGGGCTGTGGGTCTATGGGGGCTGTGGGTGCTGACCTCTGGGTCTATGGGGCGCAGTGGGTCTATGGGGGGCTGTGGGTCTATGGGGGCTGTGGGTCTATGGGGGCTGTGGGGGCTGACCTGTGGGTCTATGGGCGCTGTGGGTCTATGGGGGCTGTGGGTGCTGACCTGTGGGTCTATGGGGCGCTGTGGGTCTATGGGGGGCTGTGGGTGCTGACCTGTGGGTCCATGGGGGGCTGTGAGTCTATGGGGCACAGTGGGTCTATGGGGGGCTGTGGGTGCTGACCTGTGGGTCTATGGGGCGCAGTGGGTCTATGGGGGGCTGTGGGTCTATGGGGGCTGTGGGTCTATGGGGGCTGTGGGGGCTGACCTGTGGGTCTATGGGGCGCAGTGGGTCTATGGGGGGCTGTGGGTCTATGGGGGCTGTGGGTGCTGACCTGTGGGTCTATGGGGCGCAGTGGGTCTATGGGGGGCTGTGGGGGCTGACCTGTGGGTCTATGGGCGCTGTGGGTCTATGGGGGCTGTGGGTGCTGACCTGTGGGTCTATGGGGCGCAGTGGGTCTATGGGGCGCTGTGGGTCTATGGGGGGCTGTGGGTGCTGACCTGCGGGTCTATGGGGCGCTGTGACCCCGCATTGACCACGCCCCTTGCGTCGCCGTGGCCACGCCCCCTCCGTTGCCATAACCACGCCCCTTGCGTCACCGTGACCACGCCCCTCCGTTCACATAACCACGCCCCCTGCACCGCCGTGGCCACGCCCCCCTCCGTTGCCATGGTCACGCCCTTCCTGCCGCGGCCGCCATCTTGGATGAGGGCGGAAGCGGCGGCGGCCTGAGGTGAGGGCCTATGGGGCGCGCTATGGGGCGCGCTATGGGGCGCGCTATGGGGCGCGCTATGGGGTCCGGTCTCACCCCCCCCCCCCCCAGATGACCATTCACAACCTGTACATCTTCGACCGGAGCGGGACGTGCCTGCACTACAGTGAATGGCACCGGCGGCGGCAGGCCGGGATCCCCAAGGAGGAGGTGGGAGATGGGGGGCGATGTGTGGGGCTGGAGGGGGGTTATGGGGGGGGATGTGTGGGGCTGGAGGGGGGTTATGGGGGGGATGTGTGGGGCTGGAGGGGGGTTATGGGGGGGGCTGGAGGGGGGTTATGGGGGGGGTGTGTGGGGCTGGAGGGGGGTTATGGGGGGGATGTGTGGGGCTGGAGGGGGGTTATGGGGGGGGCTGGAGGGGGGTTATGGGGGGGATGTGTGGGGCTGGAGGGGGGTTATGGGGGGGGATGTGTGGGGCTGGAGGGGGGTTATGGGGGGGATGTGTGGGGCTGGAGGGGGGTTATGGGGGGGGCTGGAGGGGGGTTATGGGGGCGATGTGTGGGGCTGGAGGGGGGTTATGGGGGGGGCTGGAGGGGGGTTATGGGGGGATGTGTGGGGCTGGAGGGGGGTTATGGGGAGGATGTGTGGGGCTGGAGGGGGGTTATGGGGGGGGCTGGAGGGGGGTTATGGGGGGGATGTGTGGGGCTGGAGGGGGGTTATGGGGGGGGCTGGAGGGGGGTTATGGGGGGATGTGTGGGGCTGGAGGGGGGTTATGGGGGGGGGATGTGTGGGGCTGGAGGGGGGTTATGGGGGGGATGTGTGGGGCTGGAGGGGGGTTATGGGGGGGGGATGTGTGGGGCTGGAGGGGGGTTATGGGGGGGGGATGTGTGGGGCTGGAGGGGGGTTATGGGGGGGGATGTGTGGGGCTGGAGGGGGGTTATGGGGGGGGATGTGTGGGGCTGGATGGGGGTTATGGGGGGGATGTGTGGGGCTGGAGGGGGGTTATGGGGGGGATGTGTGGGGCTGGAGGGGGGTTATGGGGGGGATGTGTGGGGCTGGAGGGGGGTTATGGGGGGGATGTGTGGGGCTGGAGGGGGGTTATGGGGGGGATGTGTGGGGCTGGAGGGGGGTTATGGGGGGGATGTGTGGGGCTGGAGGGGGGTTATGGGGGGGATGTGTGGGGCTGGAGGGGGGTTATGGGGGGGATGTGTGGGGCTGGAGGGGGGTTATGGGGGGCGATGTGTGGGGCTGGAGGGGGGTTATGGGGGGGATGTGTGGGGCTGGAGGGGGGTTATGGGGGGGGATGTGTGGGGCTGGAGGGGGGTTATGGGGGGGATGTGTGGGGCTGGAGGGGGGTTATGGGGGGGATGTGTGGGGCTGGAGGGGGGTTATGGGGGGGATGTGTGGGGCTGGAGGGGGGTTATGGGGGGGGATGTGTGGGTAATGGGGTTTAAAGGGGGGTTTGGGGGGTGGAGACCGGCTATTGGGGCTCATCATGGCCTCCAAAACCCCACATCCCACACCCCACATCCCACACCCCATATCCCACACCCCACATCCCACACCCCACATCCCACACCCCACATCCCACACCCCATATCCCACACCCCACATCCCACACCCCACATCCCACACCCCACATCCCACACCCCACATCCACACCCCAGGAATTCAAGCTCATGTTCGGGATGCTTTTCTCCCTCCGCTCCTTCGTGAGCAAGATGAGCCCCACGGACATGTATCCTCTTGGTGTAGGGGCTGCCCCATAGCTCTTGGGGGTCCCGAGGTACTGCAGGCACCCCATAGACCCCGATGGGGGAGCCCCAGGGGTGAGATGTGGGGGGGAAAGACCTGGGGTAATGGAGGTCTCTATGGGGTCGCTGTGGGTCTCTATGGGTCTCTATGGGGTTGCTGTGGGGTCCCTATGGGGTCTCTATGGGTCTCTATGGGGTTGCTGTGGATCTTCATGGGTCTCTGTAGGGTGTGTGGGTCCCTATGGGGTCTCTGTGGGTCGCTATGGGGTCTCTGTGGGTCTCTATGGGGTCCCTATGGGGTCTCTGTGGGGTCCCTATGGTGTGTATGGGGTCTCTATGGGGTCTCTGTGGGGTCCCTATGGGGTCTCTGTGGGTCGCTATGGGTCTCTGTGAGGTCTCTGTGGGTCCCTATGGTGTGTATGGGGTCTCTGCGGATCTCTGTGGCTTCTCTATAGATCTCTGTGGGGTCCCTATGGGGTCTTTGTGGGTCTCTGTGGGGTCTCTGTGGGTCCCTATGGTGTGTATGGGGTCTCCATGGGCTCTCTATAGGGTCCCTATGGCTCTCTGTGGGGTGTCTCTGGGTGGCCATGGGGTCTCTATGGGGTCCCTATGGGTCTCTGTGGGTCTCTGTGGGGTCTCTATGGGTCTCTATGGGTCTCTGTGGGTCTCTATGGGTCGCTATGGGTCTCTCTGGGTCCCTGTGGGTTGCTATGGGTTGCTATGGGTCTCTATGGGGTCTCTGTGGGTCTCTATGGGTCTCTGTGGGTTGCTATGGGTCTCTATGGGGTCCCTATGGGTCTCTGTGGGGTCTCTGTGGGTCTCTGGGGTCCTTGTGGGTTACTATGGGTCGCTATGGGTCTGTGTGGGTCTCTATGGGGTCCCTATGGGTCTCTGTGGGGTCTCTATGGGTCTCTATGGGGTCCCTATAGGTCTTTATGGGTCCCTATGGGTCTCTGTGGGTCTCTATGGGTCCCTGTGGGTCTCTGTGGGTCTCTATGGGGTCTCTATGGGTCGCTATGGGTCGCTATGGGTCTCTATGGGGTCTCTATGGGTCTCTATGGGGTCTCTGTGGGTCTCTGTGGGTCTCTATGGGGTCTTTATGGGTCTCTGTGGGTTGCTATGGGTCTCTATGGGGTCTCTATGGGTCTCTATGGGTCTCTGTGGGTCCCTATGGGGTCTCTGTGGGTCTCTATGGGGTCTCTATGGGTCTCTATGGGTCTCTATGGGTCTGTGTGGGTCCCTATGGGGTCTCTGTGGGTCTCTATGGGGTCTCTATGGGTCTCTATGGGGTCTCTATGGGTCTCTATGGGTCTCTATGGGTCTCTATGGGGTCTCTATGGGGTCTCTATGGGTCTCTATGGGTCTCTATGGGTCTCTGTGTGTCCCTGTGGGTCGCTATGAGCCTGAGCGCGCAGGCGGGACGGGTTCCTGTCCTTCCACACCTCCCGCTACCGGCTCCATTACTACGAGACCCCGAGCGGGCTGCGCCTCGTGCTCAACACGGACCTGGGCGTGAGCAGCGCCCGCGAGGCCCTGCAGCACATCTACAGCAACGTGAGTGACCCAAAACTGCCTCAAATGGACCCAAAACCGCCTTAAATAGACCCAAAACCACCTTAAATGGACCCAAAACCGCCTCAAATGGACCCAAAACCGCCTTAAATGGACCCAAAACCGCCTTAAATAGACCCAAAACCGCCTTAAATGGACCCAAAACCGCCTTAAATAGACCCAAAACTGCGTCAAATGGACCCAAAACCGCCTCAAATAGACCCAGAACCGCCTTAAATGGACCCAAAACTGCCTTAAATGGACCCAAAACTGCCTTAAATGGACCCAAAACCGCCTTAAATGGACCCAAAACCGCCTTAAATGGACCCAAAACCGCCTTAAATAGACCCAAAACCGCCTTATATGGACCCAAAACCGCCTTAAATAGACCCAAAACTGCATCAAATGGACCCAAAACCGCCTTATATGGACCCAAAACTGCCTTAAATGGACCCAAAACCGCCTTAAATGGACCCAAAACCGCCCCAAACGGACCCAAAACCGCCTTAAATGGACCCAAAACCGCCTTAAATGGACCCAAAACCGCCTCAAACGGACCCAAAACTGCCTTAAATGGACCCAAAACTGCCTCAAATGGACCCAAAACCGCCTTAAATGGACCCAAAACTGCCTCAAATGGACCCAAAACCACCTTAAATGGACCCAAAACCGCCTTAAATAGACCCAAAACCGCCCCAAACGGACCCAAAACCGCCTTAAATAGACCCAAAACCACCTTAAATGGACCCAAAACCGCCTTAAATGGACCCAAAACCACCTTAAATGGACCCAAAACCGCCTCAAATGGACCCAAAACCGCCTTAAATGGACCCAAAACCACCTTAAATGGACCCAAAACTGCCTTAAATGGACCCAAAACCGCCTTAAATGGACCCAAAACCGCCCCAAACGGACCCAAAACCGCCTTAAATGGACCCAAAACCGCCTTAAATGGACCCAAAACCGCCTTAAATGGACCCAAAACCGCCCCAAACGGACCCAAAACCACCTTAAATGGACCCAAAACCGCCTTAAATAGACCCAAAACCGCCTTAAATGAACCCAAAACTGCCTTAAATGGACCCAAAACCGCCTCAAATGGACCCAAAACCGCCTCAAATAGACCCAAAACCGCCTCAAATGGACCCAAAACCACCTTAAATAGACCCAAAACCACCTTAAATAGACCCAAAACCGCCTTAAATGGACCCAAAACTGCCTTAAATGGACCCAAAACCGCCTCAAATGGACCCAAAACCGCCTTAAATAGACCCAAAACTGCCTTAAATAGACCCAAAACCGCCTCAAATGGACCCAAAACCACCTTAAATGGACCCAAAACCGCCTTAAATAGACCCAAAACCGCCTCAAATGGACCCAAAACCACCTTAAACGGACCCAAAACTGCCTCAAATAGACCCAAAACCGCCTTAAATAGACCCAAAACTGCCCCAAACGGACCCAAAACCGCCTCAAATGGACCCAAAACCACCTTAAATAGACCCAAAACCGACCCAAACCGACCCAAAACCACCCAAAACGGGCCCAAAACTGCCTCAAACTGACCCAAAACCACCCAAAACGGGCCCAAAACCGCCTCAAATGGACCCAAAACCACCCAAATGGACCCAAAACCGCCCCAAACGGACCCAAAACCACCTTAAATAGACCCAAAACCACCCCAAACGGACCCAAAACCGCCCCAAATGGACCCAAAACCGCCTTAAATAGACCCAAAACCGCCCCAAACTGACCCAAAACCACCTCAAACGGACCCAAAACTGCCCCAAACTGACCCAGACCCACCAAAAACGGGCCCAAAACCGCTCAAATGGACCCAAAACCGACCCAAACGGACCCAAAACCACCCAAAACGGACCCAAAACCACCTTAAATAGACCCAAAACCACCTTAAATAGACACAAAACTGCCCCAAACGGACCCAAAACCGCCTTAAATAGACCCAAAACCACCCAAACGGACCCAAAACTGCCCCAAATGGACCCAAAACCGCCTTAAATAGACCCAAAACCGCCCCAAACGGACCCAAAACCACCTTAAATAGACCCAAAACCGCCTCAAACGGACCCAAAACCACCCATACGGACCCAAAACCGCCCCAAACTGACCCAAAACCACACAAAATGGGCCCAAAACTGCCTTAAACTGACCCAAAACCGACCCAAACGGACCCAAAACCACCCAAAACAGACCCAAAACCACCTTAAATAGACCCAAAACCACCTTAAATGGACCCAAAACCGACCCAAACTGACCCAAAACCGCCTCAAATGGACCCAAAACCACCTTAAATAGACCCAAAACCACCCCAAACGGACCCAAAACCGCCCCAAACTGACCCAAAACCACCCAAAATGGGCCCAAAACTGCCTTAAACTGACCCAAAACCGACCCAAACGGACCCAAAACCACCCAAAACAGACCCAAAACCACCTTAAATAGACCCAAAACCACCTTAAATGGACCCAAAACCGACCCAAACTGACCCAAAACCACCTCAAATGGACCCAAAACCACCTTAAATGGACCCAAAACCACCCCAAACAGACCCAAAACCGACCCAAACTGACCCAAAACCACCTTAAATAGACCCAAAACCGCCACAAATGGACCCAAAACCACCTTAAATAGACCCAAAACCACCTTAAATAGACCCAAAACCGCCTCAAATGCACCCAAAACCGCCTTAAATAGACCCAAAACCACCTTAAATAGACCCAAAACCACTTAAATGGACCCAAAACCACCTTAAATAGACCCAAAACCGCCTCAAATGCACCCAAAACCGCCTTAAATAGACCCAAAACCACCTTAAATAGACCCAAAACCACTTAAATGGACCCAAAACCACCTTAAATAGACCCAAAACCACCTTAAATAGACCCAAAACCACTTAAATGGACCCAAAACCACCTTAAATAGACCCAAAACCGACCCAAACGGACCCAAAACCGCCTTAAATAGACCCAAAACCACCTTAAATAGACCCAAAACCACCTTAAATAGACCCAAAACCACCTTAAACGGACCCAGAACCACCCAAATGGACCCAAAACCGCCCCAAATGGACCCAAAAGCCACCAAAACCCACCCAAATGTGACCCCCAAATGCTATGGGGGGTCTATGGGTGCTATGGGGGGTCTATGGGTGCTATGGGGGGGTCTATGGGTGCTATGGGGGGTCTATGGGTGCTATGGGGGGGTCTATGGGTTCTATGGGGGGGTCTATGGGTGCTATGGGGGGTGTATGGGTGCTATGGGGGGGGCTATGGGTGGTCCATGGGTGCTATGAGGGGGTCTGTGGGTGCTATGGGGGGGGCTATGGATGCTGGCGGGGCATCTATGGGTGCTATGGGGGGTCCATGGGTGCTATGGGGGGTCTGTGGGTGCTGTGGTGTGGTCTATGGGTGCTATAGAGGGGTCTGTGGGTGCTATGGGGGTTCTATGGGTGCTGTGGGGGGGGTCCATGCATGCTATGGGGGGGTCTATGGGTGCTATGGAGGGGTCTGTGGGTGTTATGGGGGGTTCTATGGGTGCTATGGAGGAGTCTATGGGTGCTATGGAGGGGTCTGTGGGTGCTATGGGGGGTTCTATGGGTGCTATGGGGGGTTCTATGGGTGCTATGGGGTTTCTGTGGGTGCTATGGGGTCTCTGTGTGTGCTATGGGGGTCTCTGTGGGTGCTATGGGGGGGTTCTATGAGTGCTATGGGGGGTTCTATAGGTGCTATGGGTTTTCTATGGGTGCTATGGGCGGTTCTATGGGTGCTATGGGGGGTTATATGGGTGCTATGGGGTCTCTGTGGGTGCTATGCGGTCTCTATGGGTGCTATGGGGGGTTCTATGGGTCCCTATGGGTCTCTATGGGTGCTATGGGGGGTGCTATGGGGGGTTCTATGGGTGCTATGGGGAGTTCTATGGGTCCCTATGGGTCTCTATGGGTGCTATGGGGGGTTCTATGGGTGCTATGGGGTCTCTGTGGGTGCTATTGGGGGGGGTTCCATGGGCCTGTATGGGTCAGTCCATGTGCTCTATGGGGGTCCCATTGGTCTCTATGGGGTCTTTATGGGGTCCCTATGGGTCTCTATGGGTCTCTATGGGTGCTGGGGGGGTCCATGGGTGCTATGGGGGGTTCTGTGGGTGCTGTGGATGAGTCTGTGGGTGCTCTGGGGTTTCTATGGGTGCTCTGGGGTTTCTATGGGTGCTATGGGGGGTTCTGTGGGTGCTATGGGGTGTTCTATGGGTACTATGGAGTGGTCTGTGGGTGCTATGGAGGGGGGTCCATGGGTGCTATGGGGGGTTCTATGGGTGCTATGGGGGGTTCTATGGGTGGTATGGGGTCTCTGTGGGTGCTATGGGGTTTCTATGGGTGCTATGGGGGGTTCTATGGGTGCTATGGGGTCACTGTGGGTGCTATGGGGGGGGGTCCATGGGTGCTATGGGTGGTTCTATGGGTGCTATGGGGTTTCTATGGGTGCTATGGGGGTTTCTATGGGTGCTATGGGGTCCCTATGGGGTCTCTGTGGGTTCTATGGGGTCTCTATGGGTGCTATGGGGGGTTCTATGGGTGCTATGGGTGGTTCTATGGGTGCTATGGGGTTTCTATGGGTGCTATGGGGGTTTCTATGGGTGCTATGGGGTCCCTATGGGGTCTCTGTGGGTTCTATGGGGTCTCTATGGGTGCTATGGGGGGTTCTATGGGTGCTATGGGTGGTTCTATGGGTGCTATGGGGTTTCTATGGGTGCTATGGGGGTTTCTGTGGGTGCTATGGGGTCCCTATGGGGTCTCTGTGGGTTCTATGGGGTCTCTATGGGTGCTATGGGGGGTTCTATGGGTGCTATGGGCGGTTCTATGGGTGCTATGGGGTTTCTATGGGTGCTATGGTGGTTTCTATGGGTGCTATGGGGTCCCTATGGGGTCTCTGTGTGTTCTATGGGGTTTCTATGGGTGCTATGGGGGTTTCTATGGGTGCTATGGGGAGTTCTATGGGTGCTATGGGGGTTTCTATGGGTGCTATGGGGGTTTCTATGGGTGCTATGGGGGGTTCTATGGGTGCTATGGGGTCACTGTGGGTGCTATGGGGGGGGGTCCATGGGTGCTATGGGTGGTTCTATGGGTGCTATGGGGTTTCTATGGGTGCTATGGGGGTTTCTATGGGTGCTATGGGGTCCCTATGGGGTCTCTGTGGCTTCTATGGGGTCTCTATGGGTGCTATGGGGGGTTCTATGGGTGCTATGGGTGGTTCTATGGGTGCTATGGGGTTTCTATGGGTGCTATGGGGGTTTCTATGGGTGCTATGGGGTCCCTATGGGGTCCCTATGGGGTCTCTGTGGCTTCTATGGGGTTTCTATGGGTGCTATGGGGAGTTCTATGGGTGCTATGGGGGGTCTCTATAGGTGCTATGGTGGGGATTCCATGGGCCTCTATGGGTCAATCCATGTGCTCTATGGGGGTCCCATTGGTCCCTATGTGTCCCTATGGTCCCTATGTATCCCTATGTATCCCTATGTGTCTCTATGGGTCCCTATGTATCCCTATGGGTCTCTATGGGTCTCTATGGGTCCCTATGGGTCTCTATGGGTCTCTATGGGTCTCTATGGGTCCTATGGGTCCCGATGCTGCCCCCTTTCCCCCCCAGCTCTTCGTGGACCTCGTTACGAAGAACCCGCTGTGCCCCCCCCGCGCCCCGGTGCAGAGTGAGCTCTTCCGGGCGCGCCTGGACGCCTTCATCCGGGCACTGCCCTTCTTCGCGCCGCGGCCCGCCTGACGCGCGCTGCGCCCCCTGCCGGCGCGGAGGTCCGCCGAGAGCCATGGGGCACCGGGGAGCTCTGTGGGGCAGCGTGGTGCTCTATGGGGCACGATACACCCTATAGGGAACCATGGCGCTCTATGGGGCACCACGGGGCTCTATGGGGCACGATACATCCTATGGGAAACCATGGGGCTCTGTGGGGCAGCGTGGTGCTCTGTGGGGCAGCGTGGTGCTCTATGGGGCAGCGTGGTGCTCTGTGGGGCAGCGTGGTGCTCTATGGGGCAGCGTGGTGCTCTATGGGGCACGATACATCCTATAGGGAACCATGGGGCTCTATGGGGCACGATACACCCTATAGGGAACCATGGTGCTCTATGGGGCACGATACACCCTATAGAGAACCATGGCGCTCTATGGGGCACCACGGGGCTCTATGGGGCACGATACATCCTATGGGAAACCATGGCACGCTATGGGGCACGATACATCCTATAGGGAACCATGGTGCTCTATGGGGCACGATACACCCTATAGGGAACCATGGCACTCTATGGGGCAGCGTGGTGCTCTGTGGGGCACGATACACCCTATGGGGAACCATGGGGCTCTATGGGGCAGCGTGGTGCTCTGTGGGGCACGATACACCCTATAGGGAACCATGGCGCTCTATGGGGCACGATACACCCTATAGGGAACCATGGCGCTCTATGGGGCAGCGTGGTGCTCTATGGGGCACGATACACCCTATAGGGAACCATGGTGCTCTATGGGGCACGATACACCCTATAGGGAACCATGGCGCTCTATGGGGCACCACGGGGCTCTATGGGGCACGATACATCCTATGGGAAACCATGGGGCTCTGTGGGGCAGCGTGGTGCTCTGTGGGGCAGCGTGGTGCTCTATGGGGCAGCGTGGTGCTCTATGGGGCACGATACATCCTATGGGGAACCATGGTGCTCTATGGGGCACGATACACCCTATGGGAAACCATGGTGCTTTATGGGGCACGATACACCCTATAGGGAACCATGGGGCTCTATGGGGCAGCGTGGTGCTCTATGGGGTACGATACATCCTATGGGGAACCATGGTGCTCTATGGGGCACGATACACCCTATAGAGAACCATGGCGCTCTATGGGGCACCACGGGGCTCTATGGGGCACGATACATCCTATGGGAAACCATGGCACACTATGGGGCACGATACATCCTATAGGGAACCATGGTGCTCTATGGGGCACGATACACCCTATAGGGAACCATGGCGCTCTATGGGGCAGCGTGGTGCTCTGTGGGGCACGATACACCCTATGGGGAACCATGGGGCTCTATGGGGCAGCGTGGTGCTCTGTGGGGCACGATACACCCTATAGGGAACCATGGCGCTCTATGGGGCACGATACACCCTATGGGGAACCATGGGGCTCTGTGGGGCAGCGTGGTGCTCTATGGGGCATGATACACCCTATGGGAAACCATGGTGCTCTATGGGGCACGATACACCCTATAGAGAACCATGGCGCTCTATGGGGCACCACGGAGCTCTATGGGGCACGATACATCCTATAGGGAACCATGGCGCTCTATGGGGCACCACGGGGCTCTATGGGGCACGATACATCCTATGGGGAACCATGGTGCTCTATGGGGCACAATACATCCTATAGGGAACCATGGTGCTCTATGGGGCACGATACACCCTATGGGGAACCATGGTGCTCTATGGGGCAGCGTGGTGCTCTATGGGGCAGCGTGGTGCTCTATGGGGCACCGGGGAGCTCTGTGGGGCAGCGTGGTGCTCTATGGGGCACGATACATCCTATGGGGAACCATGGCACTCTATGGGCACGATGCACCCTATGGGGCACAATACATCCTATAGGGAACCATGGCACTCTATGGGGCAGCAAGGCACTCTATGGGGAACTGCGGCGCTCTATGGGGCACCGAGGAGCTCTATGGGGCACGATGCACCCTATAGGGAACCATGGCACTCTATGGGGCAGCATGGCGCTCTATGGGGCACCAAGGCGCTCTATGGGGCAGCATGACTTCCTATGGGGTGCCCTGAACCCCCCCCATGGGGCACAATGACACCCTATGGGGCACAATGCACTCTATGGGGCACCATGACTTCCTATGGGGTGCCCTAAACCCCCCCATGGGGCACCATGACACCCTATGGGGCACAATGACACCCTATGGGGCACAATGCACTCTATGGGTCACAGTGGCACCCTATGGGGCACCCTGCCCCCTCTATGGGGCACCCACCCCGCATGGAATAAAGGCCCCGTTGGTTCTCAGCTCTCTGTGGATGCTATGGGGGGGGTGGGGGGGGTGTTCAGGGCTCTATGGGGCAGGAGGAGCTCTCCCATTGCCCCCTAACCCCTCCCATTGCCCCCTAACCCCGCCCATTGCCCCCTAACCCCGCCCCATTGCCCCCTAACCCCTCCCATTGCCCCCTAACCCCTCCCATTGCCCCCTAACCCCTCCCATTGCCCCCTAACCCCTCCCATTGCCCCCTAACCCCTCCCATTGCCCCCTAACCCCTCCCATTGCCCCCTAACCCCTCCCATTGCCCCCTAACCCCTCCCATTGCCCCCTAACCCCTCCCATTGCCCCCTAACCCCTCCCATTGCCCCTAACCCCTCCCATTGCCCCCTAACCCCTCCCATTGCCCCCTAACCCCTCCCATTGCCCCCTAACCCCGCCCATTGCCCCCTAACCCCTCCCATTGCCCCCTAACCCCGCCCCATTGCCCCCTAACCCCGCCCATTGCCCCCTAACCCCTCCCATTGCCCCCTAACCCCGCCCATTGCCCCCTAACCCCGCCCCATTGCCCCCTAACCCCTCCCATTGCCCCCTAACCCCTCCCATTGCCCCCTAACCCCGCCCATTGCCCCCTAACCCCACCCATTGCCCCTAACCCCGCCCCATTGCCCCCTAACCCCTCCCATTGCCCCCTAACCCCGCCCCATTGCCCCCTAACCCCTCCCATTGCCCCCTAACCCCGCCCATTGCCCCCTAACCCCGCCCATTGCCCCCTAACCCCTCCCATTGCCCCCTAACCCCTCCTATTACCCCCTAACCCCTCCCACTGCCCCCTAACCCCGCCCATTGCCCCCTAACCCCGCCCATTGCCCCCTAACCCCTCCCATTGCCCCCTAACCCCACCCATTGCCCCCTAACCCCTCCCCATTGCCCCCTAACCCCTCCCACTGCCCCCTAACCCCTCCCATTGCCCCCTAACCCCTCCCATTGCCCCCTAACCCCTCCCACTGCCCCCTAACCCCTCCCATTGCCCCCTAACCCCTCCCATTGCCCCCTAACCCCGCCCATTGCCCCCTAACCCCTCCCATTGCCCCCTAACCCCTCCCATTGCCCCCTAACCCCGCCCCATTGCCCCCTGACCTCGCCCATTGCCCCCTAACCCCTCCCACTGCCCCCTAACCCCTCCCATTGCCCCCTAACCCCTCCCATTGCCCCCTAACCCCGCCCCATTGCCCCCTGACCTCGCCCATTGCCCCCTAACCCCTCCCACTGCCCCCTAACCCCGCCCCATTGCCCCCCTAACCCCTCCCATTGCCCCCTAACCCCTCCCATTGCCCCCTAACCCCTCCCATTGCCCCCTAACCCCGCCCCGTTGCCCCCTAACCCTGCCCATTGCCCCCTAACCCCTCCCATTGCCCCCTAACCCCGCCCCATTGCCCCCTAACCCCGCCCCGTTGCCCCCTAACCCCGCCCCATTGCCCCCTAACCCCTCCCATTGCCCCCTAACCCCGCCCATTGCCCCCTAACCCCTCCCACTGCCCCCTAACTCCTCCCATTGCCCCCTAAGCCCTCCCATTGCCCCCTAACCCCGCCCATTGCCCCCTAACCCCTCCCATTGCCCCCTAACCCCTCCCATTGCCCCCTAACCCCTCCCACTGCCCCCTAACCCCGCCCCATTGCCCCCTAACCCCTCCCATTGCCCCCTAACCCCTCCCATTGCCCCCTAACCCCGCCCATTGCCCCCTAACCCCGCCCATTGCCCCCTATGGCGGGAAAGCGCCGCGGCCACGCCCCCTTTTCCCGCGCGCTGCACGCCGGGAAGGGGGCGTGGCCAGCGCTGTCATGGCGGCGCCCATGGAGCCGGGTGCGTGTGGGGGGCGGGGGGGGACTGACCCCGAGCTGACCCCGCTCCGCCCCCCCTTAGCCCCGCCCCCTTCTGAGACCACCCACGACGCAACGGGGGAGCCAATGGGGTGAGAGGGGGGGGGACTTGGGGTTCCTATGGGGGTCTATGGAGTGTATTGAGGTCTCTATGGGGTGTCTATGGGAGTCTATGGGGTGTATATGGGGTGTATGGGGTGTCTATGGGGGGCCTATGGGGTGTATTGAGGTCTCTATGGGGTGTATTGAGGTCTCTATGGGGTGTATGGAGTCCCTGTAGGGGGGTCTGTAGGGTGTATGGGGTCTCTATGGGGGTTTTTGGGGTGCATTGAGGTCTCTATGAAGTGTATGGGGGTCTATGGGGTGTATTGAGGTCTCTATGGGGTGTATGGGGTCCCTATAGGGGGGTCTGTGGGGTGTATGGGGTCTCTATGGGGGTTTTTGGGGTGCATTGAGGTCTCTATGAAGTGTATGGGGGTCTATGGGGTGTATTGAGGTCTCTATGGGGTGTATGGGGTCCCTATAGGGGGGTCTGTGGGGTGTATGGGGTCTCTATGGGGGACTATGGGGTGCATTGAGGTCTCTATGGGGTGTCTATGGGGGTCTATGGGGTGTATTGAGGTCTCTATGGGGTGTATTGAGGTCTCTATGGGGTGTATGGGGTCCCTATAGGGGGGTCTGTGGGGTGTATGGGGTCTCTATGGGGGTCTATGGGGTGCATTGACGTCTCTATGGGGTCTCTATGGGGGTCTATGGGGTGCATTGAGGTCTCTATGGGGGTCTGTGGGGTGTATTGAGGTCTCTATGGGGTGTATGGGGTTGCTATGGGGTGTATTGGGGTGCTCTATGGGGTGTATTGAGGTCTCGATGGGGTGTATTGAGGTCTCTATGGGGTGTATGGGGTCCCTATAGGGGGGTCTGTGAGGTGTATGGGGTCTCTCTGGGGGTCTATGGGGTGCATTGAGGTCTCTATGGGGTCTCTATGGGGTCTATGGGGTGTATTGAGGTCTCTATGGGGTGTATGGGGTTGCTATGGGGTGTATTGGGGTGCTCTATGGGGTGTATTGAGGTCTCTGTGGGGTGTATGGGGTCTCTGTGGGGGTCTCTGGGGGTATTGAGGTCTCTATGGGGTGTATGGGGTCTCTGTGGGGGTCTCTGTGGGGTCTCTGTGGTGTATTGAGGTCTCTATGGGGTGTATTGAGGTCTCTATGGGGTGTATGGGGTCCCTATAGGGGGGTCTGTGGGGTGTATGGGGTCTCTATGGGGGTCTATGGAGTGCATTGAGGTCTCTTTGGGGTCTCTATGGGGGGTCTATGGGGTGCATTGAGGTCTCTATGGGGTCTCTATGGGGGTCTATGGGGTGCATTGAGGTCTCTATGGGGGTCTGTGGGGTGTATTGAGGTCTCTATGGGGTGTATGGGGTTGCTATGGGGTGTATTGGGGTGCTCTATGGGGTGTATTGAGGTCTCTATGGGGTGTATTGAGGTCTCTATGGGGTGTATGGAGGTGCTATGGGGTGTATTGGGGTGCTCTATGGGGTGTATTGGGGTGCTCTATGGGGTGTATTGAGGTCTCTATGGGGTGTATGGGGTCTTTATGGGGTGTATTGGGGTGCTCTATGGGGCATATTGAGGTCTCTATGGGGTGTATGGGGGTCTATGGGGTGTATTGAGGCCTGTATGGGGTGTATGGGGTCCCTATGGGGGGGTCTGTGGGGTGTATGGGGTCTCTATGGGGTGCACTGAGGTCTCTATGGGGTCCCTGTGGGGGTCTATGGGGTGTATTAAGGTCTCTATGGGGGTCTATGGGGTGTATTGAGGTCTCTATGGGGTGTATTGAGGTCTCTGGGGATCTATGGGGTGTATTGAGGTCTCTATGGGGTGTATGGGGTCTTTATGGGGTGTATTGGGTTGCTCTATGGGGTGTATTGAGGTCTCTATGGGGTGTATGGGGTCTTTATGGGGTGTATTGGCGTGCTCTATGGGGCGTATTGAGGTCTCTATGGGGTGTATGGGGTCTTTATGGGGTGTATTGGGGTGCTCTATGGGGTGTATTGAGGTCTCTATGGGGTGTATGGGGTCTTTATGGGGTGTATTGGGGTGCTCTATGGGGCATATTGAGGTCTCTATGGGGTGTATGGGGGTCTATGGGGTGTATTGAGGTCTGTATGGGGTGTATGGGGTCCCTATGGGGGGGTCTGTGGGGTGTATGGGGTCTCTATGGGGTGCACTGAGGTCTCTATGGGGTCTCTATGGGGGTCTATGGGGTGTATTGAGGTCTCTGTGGGGGTCTATGGGGTGTATTGAGGTCTCTATGGGGTGTATGGGGTCTCTATGGGGGTATTGGGGTGCATTATGGGGTGTATGGGCTCTCCATGGGCTATTTGGCCTCTCTATGGGGTGTCTATGGGGGTCCTATGGGGTGAATGGGGTCTCTATGGGGTCCCTATGGGTTCTCTATGGGGTGTATGGGGTCTTTATGGGGTGTATTGGGTTGCTCTATGGGGTGTATTGAGGTCTCTATGGGGTGTATGGGGTCTTTATGGGGTGTATTGGGGTGCTCTATGGGGCATATTGAGGTCTCTATGGGGTGTATGGGGGTCTATGGGGTGTATTGAGGCCTGTATGGGGTGTATGGGGTCCCTATGGGGGGGTCTGTGGGGTGTATGGGGTCTCTATGGGGTGCACTGAGGTCTCTATGGGGTCCCTATGGGGGTCTATGGGGTGTATTGAGGTCTCTATGGGGGTCTATGGGGTGTATTGAGGTCTCTATGGGGTGTATGGGGTCTCTATGGGGGTATTGGGGTGCATTATGGGGTGTATGGGCTCTCCATGGGCTATTTGGCCTCTCTATGGGGTGTCTATGGGGGTCCTATGGGGTGAATGGGGTCTCTGGGGTGTATATGGAGTTCCAATGGGGTGTGTGGGTTCTCTATGGGGTGTATATGGGGGTCTATGGGGTGTATGGCGTATCTCTGGGGGTATTGGGGGTCTCTATGGGGGTATATGGGGTTTCTATGGGGTATTTGGGGTCTCCATGGGGGTCCTGTTGTGGGGTGTATGGCATCTCTATGGGGTATTTGGGGTCTCTATGGGGTGTATATGGGGTGTCTGTGGGGGTTTATGGGGGTCCTATGGGGTGTATGGGGTCTCTATGGGGGTATTGGGGTGCTCTATGGGGTGTATTTAGGTCTCTATGGGGTGTATGGGGTCTCTATGGGGGTATTGGCGTGCTTTATGGGGCTTATGGGGTCTCCACGGGCTATTTGGGGCCTCTATGGGGTGTCTCTGGGGGTCCTATGGGGTGAATGGGGTCTGTGTGGGGTGTATATGGAGCTCCAATGGGGTGTATGGGGTCTCTATGGGGTATTTGGGGTCTCTATGGGGTGTATATGGGGTTTGTGTGGGGTGTATGGGGTCTCTATGGGGGTATTGGGGGTCTCTATGGGAGTATGTAGGGTTTCTATGGGGTATTTGGGGTCTCCATGGGGGTCTATGGGGGTCCTGGGGGGGGGGTATGGGGTCTCTATGGGGTGTTTGGGTTCTCTATGGGGTGTATATGGGGTTCCTATGGGGTCCCTAGGGGTCTGTCTGGCTCCCTAAGGATCTCTATGGGTCCCTAGGGGTCGCTATAGGATCTCTATGGGTCTCTGTGGAGTCTCTATGGGTCTCTACGGAGTCTCTATGGGGCCTCTATAGGGTCTCTATGGGTCTCTATGGAGTGTCTGTGGGTCCCTAGGGATCTCTATGGGTCTCTATGGGATCTCTATGGGTCCCTAGGGACCTCTATGGGTCTCTATGGGATCTCTATGGGTCCCTAGGGATCTCTATGGAGTCTCTATGGGTCTGTATGGGATCTCTATGGGTCCCTAGGGATCCCTAGGGACCTCTGTGGGTCTCTATGGGATCTCTATGGGTCCCTAGGGATCTCTATGGGTTTCTATGGGTCTCTATGGAGTCTCTATGGGTCCCTAGGAATCTCTATGGGTCTCTATGGATCTCTATGGGTCCCTAGGGATCTCTATGGGTCTCTATGGGTCTCTATGGAGTCTCTATGGGTCCCTAGGGATCTCTATGGGTCTCTATGGGTCTCTATGGATCTCTATGGGTCCCTAGGGATCTCTATGGGTTTCTATGGGTCTCTATGGAGTCTCTATGGGTCTCTATGGGTCCCTAGGGATCTCTATGGGTCTCTATGGGTCTCTCTGTGGGTCCCTGACCCCTTTGCCCCCCCCAGCCTCCCCCCCTCGCTGTGGGCCGCCCCCCCCGGCCCGTGGGGGGGGCTCAGGACGAGTTCCGGCTCCGGCCCCACAACTTCCTGCGGGGCTGCACCTGGTGAGCGCGCCCCTCCCCCCACTTTCATAGACCCCTCCCCCACCCCGAGCCCTCCCCCACCCCGATTGACCCCGCCCCCCCGCTCCCCCCCCCCGGAGCCCCCCCTTCCCCTCCCCCCCCCCCATTGACCCCTCCCCCACCCCGATTGACCCCGCTCCCCCCCCCCTCCCCCCCCCGGAGCCCTTCCCCTCCCCCCCCCTCCATTGACCCCTCCCCCACCCCTATTGACCCCGCCCCCCGCTCCCCCCCCCTGGAGCCCCCCCTTCCCCTCCCCCCCCCCATTGACCCCTTCCCCCCCCCGGAGCCCTTCCCCTCCCCCCCCCCCATTGACCCCTCCCCCACCCCGATTGACCCCGCCCCCACCCCACCCCCCGGAGCCCCTTCCCCCGCTCCTCCCCCACCCCGATTGACCCCGCCCCCACAGCTCCTACCCCCACCCGGAGCCCCTCCCCCATCCCCTCCCCCCCCATTGACCCTTCCCCCACCCCGATTGACACCGCCCCTTTCCCTCCCCCACCCCTCCCCCTTCTTCCACCCCCCCTCCCCCACCCCCATTGACTCCTCCCCCACCTGGAGCCCCTCCCCCAAGCGGAGCCCCTCCCCCCTGCCCTATCCCCACCTCTATTGACCCCTCCCCCACCCCGATTGACCCCACCCCTTCCCCTCCCCCACCCCGCACCCATCCCCCACCCCCATTGACCCCTCCCCCACCCTTGGTCCTTTCGGGGGGGGGGGGGGTGGGGGAGGGGTGGGAGAGTCCATGGAGGGGGGGGAGGGGGGTCCCATAGGGGGAGCATTGGGGTCCTTATGGGATAATGGAGCTCCCATAGGGGTGTCATAGGGCCCTATGGGGGTCTATGGGTCCCTATGGGCTCTATGGGTCCCTGTGGGGGTCTATGGGTCCCTATGGGTCTCTATGCGTCCCTATGGGCTCTATGGGCTCTATGGGTCTTTATGGGTCTCTATGGTCCCTATGCGTCTCTATGGGTCCTTATGGGCTCTATGAGTTGCTATGTGCTCTATGGGTCCCTATGGGTCCCTATGGGCTCTATGGGTCCCTATTGGCTCTATGGGTGCTATGGGCTCTATGGGTCCCTATGGGCTCTATGGGTCCCTATTGGCTCTATGGGTCCTTATGGGCTCTATGGGTCCCTATGTGTCCCTATGTGTCTCTATGTGTGTGTCCCTATGTGTCCCTATGGGTCCCTATGGGCTCTATGGGTCTCTACGGGTCCCTATGGGTCCCTATGTGTGTCTATGGGTCTCTATGGGTCCCTATGTGTCCCTATGGGTCTCTATGGGCTCTATGGGTCTCTACGGGTCCCTATGGGTCCCTATGGGTCTCTATGGGTCTCTATGGGTCCCTATGTGTCCCTATGGGTCCCTATGGGTCTCTATGGGTCCCTATGGGTCTCTATGGGTCCCTATGTGTCCCTATGGGTCCCTATGTGTCCCTATGGGTCCCTATGGGTCTCTATGGGTCCCTATGGGTCCCTATGGGTCTCTATGGGTCCCTATGTGTCCCTATGGGTCCCTATGGGTCTCTATGTGTCCCTATGTGTCCCTATGTGTCCCTATGTGTCCCTATGGGTCTCTATGGGTCCCTATGGGTCCCTATGTGTCCCTATGGGTCCCTATGTGTCCCTATGGGTCTCTATGGGTCCCTATGTGTCCCTATGTGTCCCTATGTGTCCCTATGGGTCCCTATGGGTCTCTATGTGTCCCTATGGGTCCCTATGTGTCCCTATGGGTCTCTATGGGTCCCTATGGGTCTCTATGGGTCCCTATGTGTCCCTATGGGTCTCTATGGGTCTCTATGTGTCCCTATGGGTCCCTATGTGTCCCTATGGGTCTCTATGTGTCCCTATGGGTCCCTATGGGTCTCTATGGGTCTCTATGGGTCCCTATGGGTGCCCGCAGGGCCCCCGATGGCTCCTGTGTGCTGAGCTGCAGCGCTGACAACACCCTGCGCCTCTTCGACCTCCCCCCGCCCCCCGCTGTGGGGCAGCCCCTCCCCCAGCTGGTGGGTAATGGGGTCCCTATGGGGTCTATGGGGCTCCTATGGGGGGTAGGGGGTCTCTATGGGGTCCCTATGGGGTCTCTATGGGGTGTATGGGATCTCTATGGGGTCCCTATGGGGCTCCTATGGGGGGTAGGGGGTCTCTATGGGGTCCCTATGGGGTCTCTATGGGGTGTATGGGGTCCCTATGGGGTCCATATGGGGCTCCTATGGGGTGTATGGGGTCTCTATGGGGTCCCTATGGGTTCTCTATGGGGTGTATGGGATCTCTATGGGGTCCCTATGGGGCTCCTATGGGGTGTATGGGGTCTCTATGGGGTCCCTATGGGGTTTCTATGGGGTCCCTATGGGGTCTCTATGGGGTGTATGGGGTCTCTATGGGGTCCCTATGGGGTCTCTATGGGGTGTATGGGGTCTCTATGGGGTCCCTATGGGGTCTCTATGGGGTGTATGGGGTCTCTATGGGGTCCCTATGGGGTCTCTATGGGGTGTATGGGGTCTCTATGGGGTCCCTATGGGGTCTCTATGGGGTCCCTATGGGTTCTCTATGGGGTGTATGGGGTCTCTATGGGGTCCCTATGGGGTCTATGGGGTGTAGGGGGTCTCTATGGGGTCCCTATGGGGTCTCTATGGGGTCTATGGGGTCTCTGTGGGGTCCCTATGGGGTCTCTATGGGGTGTATGGGGTCTCTGTGGGGTCCCTATGGGGTCTATGGGGTTTAGGGGGGTCTCTATCTGGTTCCTATGGGGTCTATGGAGTCCCTATGGGGTCTATGGGGCTCCTATGGGGTGTATGGGGTCTCTATGGGGTGTGTTAGGGTCTCTATGGGGTGTAGGGGGTCTCTTCGGGGTCCCTATGGGGTCCCTACGGGGTCCCTATGGGGTCTGTGGGGCTCCTATGGGTGTATGGGGTCTCTATGGAGTCCCTAGGGGGTCTATGGGGCTCCTATAGGGTGTAGGGGGTCTTTATGGGGTCCCTATGGGATCTATGGGGTCTCTGTGGGTTTATTAGGGTCTCTATGGGGTGTATGGGGTCTCTATGGGGTCTCTATGGGGCTCCTATGAAGCGTATGGGGTCTCTATGGGGTCCTATGGGATCTATGGGGTGTATGGGGTCTCTATGTGGTCCCTATAGGATCTATGGGGTCCCTATGGGGTGTATGGGGTCTCTATGGGGTCCCTATGTATCCCTATGTGTCCCTATGGTCCCTATGTGTCCCTATGGGTCCCTATGGTCCCTATGGGTCCCTATGTGTCCCTATGGGTCCCCATGGGTCCCTATGTGTCCGTATGTGTCCCTATGGTCCCTATGTGTCCCTATGTGTCCCTATGGGTCCCTATGTGTCCCTATGGGTCCCTATGTGTCCCTATGTGTCCCTATGGGTCCCTATGGGTCCCTATGTATCCCTATGGGTCCCTATGGGGCGCTATGGGTCCCTATGCGTCCCTATGGGGCGCTATGGGTCCCTATGTGTCCCTATGGGTCCCTATGGGGCGCTATGGGTCCCTATGTATCCCTATGTGTCCGTATGTGTCCCTATGGGTCCCTATGTGTCCCTATGTATCCCTATGGGTCCCTATGGGTCCCTATGTGTCCCTATGGGTCCCTATGGGTCCCTATGTGTCCCTATGTGTCCCTATGTGTCCCTATGGGTCCCTATGGGTCCCTATGTATCCCTATGTGTCCCTATGTATCCCTATGGGTCCCTATGGGTCCCTATGTGTCCCTATGGGTCCCTATGGGTCCCTATGGGTCCCTATGTGTCCCTATGTGTCCCTATGTATCCCTATGGGTCCCTATGGGTCCCTATGTGTCCCTATGTATCCCTATGGGTCCCTATGGGTCCCTATGTGTCCCTATGGGTCCCTATGGGTCCCTATGTATCCCTATGTGTCCGTATGTATCCCTATGGGTCCCTATGTGTCCCTATGGGGTGCTATGGGTCCCTGTGGCTCCCCCCTGTGTGGGTGCAGGAGCCGGCGCTGCGGGTGCCCGAGGGTGACACCATCTACGACTACGCCTGGTTCCCACTCATGGACTCCAGGGAGCCCCAGACCTGCCTGTGGGTGCTATGGGGCAATGGGTGCTATGGGGCAATGGGGGCTATGGGGGCAATGGGGGCTATGGGGGTAATGGGGGTAATGGGGGCTATGGGGGCAATGGGGGCTATGGGGGTAATGGGGGCTATGGGGGCTATGGGGCAATGGGGGCTATGGGGGCTATGGGGCAATGGGGGTAATGGGGCAATGGGGGCAATGGGGGCTATGGGGGCTATGGGGGCTATGGGGCAATGGGGGCTATGGGGGTAATGGGGGCTATGGGGGTAATGGGGGTAATGGGGACTATGGGGCAATGGGGGGCAATGGGGGCTATGGGGGTAATGGGGCAATGGGGGCTATGGGGCAATGGGGGCTATGGGGGCAATGGGGGCTATGGGGGCAATGGGGGCTATGGGGCAATGGGGGCTATGGGGGTAATGGGGGCTATGGGGGTAATGGGGGCTATGGGGGCTATGGGGCAATGGGGGCAATGGGGGCTATGGGGCAATGGGGGCTATGGGGGCTATGGGGCAATGGGGGCTATGGGGGTAATGGGGGCTATGGGGCAATGGGGGGCAGTGGGGCTATGGGGGCAATAGGGGTCCATATGGGTCCATACTGGTCTATACTGGGCTGTAGTAGCCCGCACTGGTCCATATTGGTCCATACTGGTGCATACTGGTCAGTACTGGTCCATACTGGTCCGTACTGGTCCGTACCAGTCCATACTGGTCCATACTGGTGTATACTGGTCAGTACTGGTCCATACTGGTCCGTACTGGTCAGTACTGGTCCATACTGGTCCATACTGGTGATTACTTGTCCATACTGCCCCACACTGCTCTGTACTGGTCCATACTGGTCCACATTGGTCCATACTGGTCAGTACTGGTCCATATTGGTGCACGCTGACCCATACTGGTCATTACTGCTCCATACTGGTCCGTACTGGTCAGTAGTGCTCCATACTGGTCCATACTGGTCCATACTGGTCCATACTGGTCCGTACTGCTCAGTACTGCTCCATACTGGTCCATACTGCTCCATACTGCTCCATACTGCTCCATACTGGTCCATACTGGTCAGTACTGGTCCATACTGGTCTGTACTGGTCCATACTGGTCAGTACTGGTCCATACTGGTCCATACTGGTCCGTACTGGTCATTGCTGGTCCGTACTGGTCCATACTGGTCCCTACTGCTCCATACTGCCCCGTACTGGTCCGTACTGGTCTGTACTGGTCCGTACTGGTCCATACTAGTCCATACTGGTCCGTACTGGTCTGTACTGCTCCATACTGGTCCGTACTAGTCCATACTAGTCCGTACTGGTCTGTACTGGTCCGTACTGGTCTGTACTGGGCAGGGTGGCCTCCAGCAGCCGGGACAACCCCGTCCACCTCTGGGATGCCTTCGATGGGACCCTGAGGGGCTCCTTCCGTGCCTACAACCACCTGGTGAGCCCCATAGCGACCCCCAAGTGCCCCATAGCGACCCCCAAGTGCCTCATAGCAACCCCCCAGTGCCCCATAGTGACCCCCAAGTGCCCCATAGCGACCCCCAAGTGCCCCATAGCGACCCCCAAGTGCCCCATAGCAACCCCCCAGTGCCCCATAGTGACCCCCAAGTGCCCCATAGCGACCCCCAAGTGCCCCATAGCGACCCCCTAGTGCCCCATAGCGACCCCCTAGTGCCCCATAGCGACCCCCAAGTGCCCCATAGCGACCCCCTAGTGCCCCATAGCGACCCCCAAGTGCCCCATAGCAACCCCCCAGTCCCCCAGAGCGACCCCCCAGTGCCCCATAGCGACCCCCAAGTGCCCCATAGCAACCCCCCAGTGCCCCATAGCGACCCCCAAGTGCCCCATAGCGACCCCCACTGCCCCATAGTGACCCCCAAGTGCCCCATAGCGACCCCCAAGTGCCCCATAGCGACCCCCAAGTGCCCCATAGCAACCCCCCAGTCCCCCAGAGCGACCCCCAAGTGCCCCATAGTGATCCCCCACTGCCCCATAGCCACCCCCCAGTGCCCCATAGCGACCCCCTCTGCCCCATAGCGACCCCCCACTGCCCCATAGCGCCCCCCAAGTGCCCCAAAGCGACCCCCAGTGCCCCATAGCAACCCCCGTGCCCCGTAGCAACCCATAGAGACCCATAGCAACCCCCCAGTGCCCCTATAGTGACCCCCCACTGCTGCATAGCGACCCATAGAGACTCGTAGCAACCCCATAGAGATCCATAGCGACCCCCCAGTGCCCCATAGCGACCCATAGCAACCCCCCAGTGCCCCATAACGACCAAGTGCCCCATAGAGACCCCCCCAGTGCCCCATAGCGACCCCCCACTGCCCTATAGCGACCCCCAAGTGCCCCTTAGCGACCCCCAGTGCCCCATAGCGACACCCCACTGCCCCATAGTGACCCCCAAGTGCCCCATAGTGACCCCCACTGCCCCATAGCGATCCCCACTGCCCCATAGCAACCCCCAAGTGCCCCATAGCAACCCCCACTGCCCTATAGTGATCCCCCACTGCCCCATAATGACCCCCCAGTGCCCCATAGCAACCCCCAAGTGCCCCATAGTGACCCCCCTCTGCCCCAAAGCAACCCCCAAGTGCCCCATAGTGACCCCCAAGTGCCCCGTAGCGACCCCCCAATGCCCCATAGCAACCCCCCAGTGCCCCTATAGCGTCCCCCCACTGCTGCATAGCGACCCCCCCAGTGCCCCATAGAGACCCATAGCAACCCCCCAGTGCCCCATAGCAACCAAGTGCCCCATAGAGACCCCCTCAGTGCCACATAGCGACCCATTGAGACGCATATCAACCCCCCAGTGCCCCATAGCGACCCCCCACTGCCCCATAGAGACCCCCAAGTGCCCCACAGAGACCCCCAAGTGCCCCATAGCTACCCCCCAGTGCCCCATAGAGACCTATAGCAAACCCCCAGTGTCCATAGCAACCTTCAAGCACCCCACAGCAGCCCCATAGAGACCCATAGCGACCCCCCAGAGCTCCCCCACCCATGTCTATGGGTCATTGTGGGTCCTCGTGAGTCTCTATAGGTCCCTGTGGGTCTCTGAGGGTCTCTGTATGGTCTCTGTGGGTCTCTATGGGGTCTCTATGGGGTGTCTATGGGTCACTGTGAGGTCTCTATGGGGTCCCTATGGGTCCCCGTGGGTCTCAGTGGGTCCCCGTGGGTCTGTGTGGTGTCCCTATGGTTCTCTATGTGTCCCTATGTGTGTCTATGGGTCTCTATGGGGTCCCTATGTGTCCCCATGGGTCTCAGTGTGTCCCTGTGGGTCTCAGTGGGTCCCTATGTGTCCCTATGAGTCCCTATGTGTCCCTATGTGTCCCCATGGGTCTCTATGTGTCCCTATGTGTCCCTATGGGTCCCTATGTGTCCCTATGTGTCCCTATGTGTCCCTATGGGTCCCTATGTGTCCCTATGTGTCGCTATGGGTCCCTATGTGTCCCTATGTGTCCCTATGGGTCCCTATGTGTCCCCATGTGTCCCTATGGGTCCCTATGTGTCCCCATGGGTCCCTATGTGTCCCTATGGTCCCTATGTGTCCCTATGTGTCCCTATGGTCCCTATGGTCCCTATGTGTCCCTATGGTCCCTATGGTCCCTATGTGTCTCTATGTGTCCCTATGGTCCTTATGGTCCCTATGGGTCCCTATGGTCCCTATGTGTCTCTATGGGTCCCTATGTGTCCCTATGTGTCCCTATGGGTCCCTATGTGTCTCTATGTGTCCCTATGTATCCCTATGGTCCCTATGTGTCCCTATGTGTCCCTATGTGTCCCTATGTGTCCCTATGTGTCCCTATGGGTCCCTATGGGTCCCTATGGGTCCCTATGTGTCCCTATGTGTCCCTATGGGTCCCTATGTGTCCCTATGTGTCCCTATGTGTCCCTATGGGTCCCTATGTGTCCCTATGTGTCCCTATGTGTCCCTATGGTCCCTATGGTCCCTATGTGTCCCTATGTGTCCCTATGTGTCCCTATGGTCCCTATGGTCCCTATGTGTCCCTATGTGTCCCTATGTATCCCTATGTGTCCCTATGTGTCTCTATGTGTCCCTATGTGTCCCTATGGGTCCCTATGTATCCCTATGTGTCCCTATGTGTCCCTATGGGTCCCTATGTGTCCCTATGTGTCCCTATGTGTCCCTATGGGTCCCTATGTGTCCCTATGTGTCCCTATGTGTCCCTATGTGTCCCTATGGGTCCCTATGTGTCCCTATGGGTCCCTATGTGTCCCTATGTGTCCCCATGTGTCCCTATGGTCCCTATGTGTCCCTATGTGTCCCTATGTGTCCCTATGTGTCCCTATGTGTCCCTATGTGTCCCTATGGGTCCCTATGGGTCCCTATGGGTCCCTATGTGTCCCCATGGGTCCCTATGGGTCTCAGTGGGTCTGTGTGGGGCAGGAGGAGCCGGTGGCCCCCCACTCCCTGACCTTCACCCCCGATGGTTCCCGGCTCCTCGGGGGCTGCGACGGCTCCGTCCGGATCTTCCCGACGGAGCGGCCGGGGCGGAGCCACCAGGAGCGGGCGCTGCGCCGTGAGGGGCGGGGCTTAACGGGGCGGGGCTTAAATGGGGCGGGGCTTAAAGGGGCGGGGGTTAGGGGGGGCGGGATTTGAACGGGGTGGGGGGTAAATGGGCGGGGCTTAAAGGGGATGGAGGTTCAAGGGGCGGGGGTTAAGGGAGCGGAGCTTGAAGGGGTGGAGCTTAAGGGGGCGGGGCTTAACGGGGATGGAGGTTCAAGGGGAGGGGGTTAAGGGGGCGGAGCTTAAAGGGGTGGAGCTTGAGGGGGCGGGGGTTAACGGGGATGGAGGTTCAAGGGGCGGGGGTTAAGGGAGCGGAGCTTGAAGGGGTGGAGCTTAAGGGGGCGGGGCTTAACGGGGATGGAGGTTCAAGGGGAGGGGGTTAAGGGGGCGGAGCTTAAAGGGGTGGAGCTTGAGGGGGCGGGGGTTAACGGGGATGGAGGTTCAAGGGGAGGGGGTTAAGGGGGCGGAGCTTAAAGGGGTGAAGCTTAAGGGGGCGGGGCTTAAAGGGGATGGAGCTTCAAGGGGCGGGGGTTAAGGGGGCGGAGCTTGAAGGGGTGGAGCTTAAGGGGGCGGGGCTTAGAGGGGATGGAGGTTCAAGGGGCGGGGGTTAAGGGGGTGGAGCTTGAAGGGACGGGGTTTAAAGGAGGCGGAGTTTAAAGGGGTGGAGCTTAGGGGGCGGGGTTAATGGGGCGGAGCTTAAGGGGGCGGGGCTTAAAGGGGGTGGAGGTTAAAGGGATGGGGTTTAAAGGGGGCTGAGCTTACGGGGGCGTGGTTTAAAGGGGGCGGACCTTAAAGGGGTGGAGCTTAAGGGGGTGGAGGTTAAAGGGGCGGGGTTTAAAGGGGGCGGAGCTTAAGGGGTGTGGGTTAAAGGGGGTGGAGGTTAAAGGGACGGGGTTTAAAGGGGGCTGAGCTTAAGGGGGCAGGGTTTAAAAGGGGCGGAGCTTAAGGGGGTGGAGGTTAAAGGGGCGGGGTTTAAAGGGGCGGAGCTTAAGGTGGCGTGGGTTAAAGGGGTGGAGGTTAAAAGTACGGGGTTTAAAGGGGGCGGAGCTTAAGGGGGTGGGGCGGGGCTTAAAGGGGTGGGGCTTAAAAGGGCGGGAGCAAAGGGGCGGGGCTTAAAGGGATGGTTTTTAAAGGGGTGGGGCTTAAAGGGACGGTTTAAAGGGGCTCAGCTTAAAGAAATGGTGTTTAAAGGGGGTGGAGCTTAAAGGGACGGGGCTTAAAGGGGGTGGAGCTTAAAAGGGCAGGGTTTAAAGGGGGCGGAGCGTAAAGGGGCAGGACCAAGAGGGGCTTAAAGGGGTGGAGCTTAAAGGGGCCGGGTTTAAAGGGGGTGGAGCTTAAAGGGGCAGGGTTTAAAGGGGGTGGAATTTAAAGAGGGTGGTATCTAAAGGGGGTGGAGTTTAAAAGATGGGGGTTAAGGGGCGGAGCTGAAAGGGATGGTGTTTATAGGGGGCGGAGCTTAAAGGGACAGGGTATAAAGGAGGTGGAGCTTAAAGGGGCGGGGTTTAAAGGGGTGGAGCTCAAAGGTGGTGTCTAAAGGGGGCGGAGCTTAAAGGGGCAGGGTTTAAATGGTGGGGGTTTAAGGGATGGGGTTTAAAGAGGGTGGAGCTTAAAAGGGCGGGATCAAAGGGGGTGGGGCTTAAAGAAGCAGGGTTTAAAGGGGGTGGAGTATGGGGTGGAGCTTAAAGAGATAGGGATTAAGGGGGTGGAGCTTAAAGGGGCGGGGCTTAAACGGTGTCAAAAGGGGGCAGAGCTTAAAGGGGGCAGAGCTTAAAGGGGCGAGGTTTAGGGGGGTGGAGCTTAACGGGGCGGGGCTTAAAGAAGTGGGGCTTAAAGGGACAGGGTTTAAATGGGCGGAGCTTAAAGGGACAGGGTGTAAAGGAGGGTGGAGCTTAAAGAGGGTGGTATCTAAAAAGGGTGGAGCTTAAGGGGATGATGTTTAAAGGGGGTGGAGCTTAAAGGGACGGGGCTTAAGGGGGGTGGAGCTTAAAAGGGCAGGGTTAAAAGGGGGCGGAGCTTAAAGGGTCTGGGTGTAAAGGAGGGTGGCGTTTAAAGAGGGTGGTATAGAAAGGGGGTGGAGCTTAAAGGGGGCGGAGCTTAAAGGGGCAGAGATTAAACAGGGTGGAGTTTAAAGGGGCAGGGTTTAAAGGGGCGGAGCTTAAAGGGGTGGAGCTTAAAGGGGCGTGTTTTAAGGGGGGACAATGGCGGGGCACGGCTTAAAGAGGGAGGGGCTTTAGTGGGCGGGGCCTTATGTGGGAGGGAGCGAAAGGGGTGGAGCCTAGAGGGGGCGTGGCCTGTGACTGGTCGTGTCCAATCGCAGAGGGCGGTCAGGGCCAGCGCGGGCTGATTGGCTGCCTGGCGGTGAGCCCCAGCCAACCGGTGTTCGCCTGCGGCTCCTATGGGCGGAGCCTGGGGCTGTACGCGCTGGAAGGGGGCGGGGCCTTGGCGCTCTGGCCCCGCCTCCCCGCGGCCCCCACCCACCTGCGCTTCAGCCCCGAGGGGACCCGGCTCTACGTGGGGGGGCGAAAGGTGGGCGGGGCTTAGAGGGGCGGGCTCTGATTGGTTGAGGAGTTGAGAGGGGCGGGGCTTGGGTCGGGGGGATTGAAAGTGGGAGGGGTTATGGGGGTGGGGTTTGGTGGCGGGGCTTAAATGGGAGGGGCTTAAAGGGGCGGGGCTTGAGGGTGGGAGGGGCTCTCAGGGAAGGGGTTTGATTGGTGGAGGGTCTGAAGGGGCGGGGCTAAGGTTAGGAGGGGTTTAAAGGGGCGGGGTTTGATTGGTGAAGGTGCTTAGGTGGGAGGAGCTAAAGGTGGGAGGTGCTTAGGTGGGAGGATTGGGGCGTGGCTTAGGTGGGAGGAGCTAAAGGGGTGGGGTTTAGGTGTGGGAGGGGTTTAAATGGGAGGGGTTTGAGCATGGGAGGTGCTTATGGGGTTGGGGTTTGATTGGTGGGAGGGGCTTAAGGGGCGGGGCTTAGGGTGGGAGGGGCTTAAAGGAGTTGGGTTGAATGGGGAGTGGTCTACAGGGCTGTCCAATGGGGTGCATGGTGGGCGGGGCTTGAGAGGGAGGGGCTTAAAGGAGTGGGTGGAGCCTCTTTGTGGGCGTGGTTTCCATATTGGGGTGTGTCCAGGGGATGAAGCCTCATGATTGGGCAGTGCCCATCAAGGGGTGGGGGTGAGGGGGCGTGGCCTCACCTTAGCCCCGCCCCCTCAGGACACCCACATCCTGTGCTGGGACCTGCGGCTGCCGGAGCGCCCCCTGCTGGCCATGGAGCGTCACGTGACCACCAACCAGCGCGTGACCTTTGACCTTGACCCGTAGGTGACCCCCCAACCCTCCACCCCTGGGCTAATGGGGGTCCCTCCTATAGGGCTTTATAGCCCCTATAGGGCCATATAGTCCCTATAGAGCTATATAGCTCCTGTGGTCCCTATAGGGCTATATAGCCCCTATAGGCCCTATACACCTTCTGTAGCCCCTATAGGGCTTTATAACCCCTATATATCCCCTATAGATCCAATATAGGGCTTTATAGCCCCTATAGCCCCTATAGAGCTATATAGCTTCTGTAGTCCCTATAGAGCTATATAGCCCCTATAGGCCCTATACACCTTCTATAGCGCCTATAGGGCTTTATAGCTCCTATAGCCCCTATGTATCCCCTATAGATTCCCTATAGGGCTTTATAGCTCCTATAGCCCCTATATATCCCCTATAGATCCCCTATAGGGCTTTATAGCTTCTATAGTCCCTATATAGCTCCTGTACTCCCTATAGGGCTATATTGCCCCTATAGCCCCTATAGGGCTTTATAGCCCCTATATAGCCCCTATAGAGCTTTATAGCTCCTATAGCCCCTACATAGCCCCTATAGCCCCTATAGGGCTTTATAGCTCCTATAGGCCCTATATAGCTCCTATATAGCCCCTATAGGGCTTTATAGCTCCTACAGCCCCTATATAGCCCCTATATGGCTTTATAGCTCCTATAGCCCTTATATAGCCCCTGTATAGTCCCTATGGGGCTTTATAGCCCCTATAGCCCTTATATAGCCCCTATAGAGTTTTATGGCTCCTATAGCTCCTATATAGCCCCTATAGCCCCTATAGGGCTTTATAGCTCCTATAGCCCCTATATAGCCCCTATAGCCCCTATAGGGCTTTATAGTTCCTACAGCCCCTATAGGGCTTTTTAGCTCCTATAGCCCCTATATTGCCCCTATAGCCCCTATAGGGCTTTATATCTGCTATAGCCCCCCTATATGACCCATATAGCCCCTATATAGCTCTTATATAGCCCCTATAGGGCTTTATAGCCCCTATAGGATCTATGGGGCTCCCCATTGACCGCTGTGTGTCCCCCCCATAGGTCGGGCCGGTTCCTGGTGAGCGGTGACACCCGCGGCTTTGTCACCCTGTGGGACACTGAGGGGACCCCCCCGGACCCGGGGGACCCCCCACTGCTGGCCCCATTGCTGCGGTTCAGGGCCCTGCGGGACTGCATCAACGGCACCAGGTAACAGCAGCGCCCCATAGCGACGCCCTATAGCAACAACGCCCCATAACAGCACCCCGCGTACACCAGAACACCCCCACAACACCCTAAATCCTTCCCACAGCACCCTAAATCCTTCCCACAACACCCTAAATCCTCCCCACAACACCCTAAATCCTTCCCACAACACCCTAAATCCTCCCCACAACACCCTAAATCCTACCCATAACACCCTAAATCCCCCCACAACACCCTAAATCCTCCCCACAACACCCTAAATCCTCCCCACAACACCCTAAATCCCCCCACAACACCCTAAATCCTCCCCATAGCACCCTAAATCCTCCCCACAACACCCTAAATTCTCCCCACAACACCCTAAATCCCTCCCACAACACCCCCATAGCCCCCCATAGCACTCCAAATCCTCCCCACAACACCCCAAATCCTCCCCACAACACCCCCATAGCCCCCCCAAATACTCCCCATAACACCCTAAATCCCCCCACAACACCCTAAATCCTCCCTACAACACCCCTTTAGCCCCCCCATAACACCCCACAACACCCTAAATCCCTCCCACAACACCCCTATACCCCCCCACAACACCCTAAATCCCTGCCACAACACCCCTGTAGCCCCCCCAACACTGTAAATTCTCCCCATAACACCCCAAATCTCCCCACAACACCCCAAATACTTCCCACAACACCCCCATAGCCCTCCATAGCACCCCAAATCCTCCCCAGAACACCCTAAATCCCCCCACAACACCCTAAATCCCTCTCACATCACCCCTATAGCCCACACAACACCCTAAATCCTCCCCATAACACCCTAAATCCCTCCCACAACACCCCTATAGCCCCCCCCACCGTAAATTCTCCCCACAACACCCTAAATCCCTCCCATAACCCCCCAAATCCCTCCCCCAACATCCCTATACCCCCCCAACACCCTACATCCCCCCCCATTACACCTCAAGCCCCCCTCACAACACCCCGAGACCCACTCCCCCAACCCCCCGACCCCCATCTCCCCCCAGCACCACCCTCACACCCTCCCCAAGCGCCACCCTTTGGGGCGGGCTGTTGCGTCCGGCTGTTGCCGTGAGGCTGTTGTTGGGTCCGGGGGAGCACATGTGTGGGTCTGGGGGTACCTGGGGTTGTTGGGATCACCCCAACCCATGGCACCACCACCCCCAGTTTACACCCTGAGCTCCCGTTGTTGGCCACGGCCTCGGGGCAGCGGCTGTTCCCGGCGCCGTGGGGCAGTGACGAGGAGGAGGAGGAGGAAGAGGAAGGGCCCCCCCCGGGGGGGGACAATCGGCTCCAGCTCTGGTGGTGGGGGCATGAACCCCCCGAGGACAACGGCTGGGGTATGGCCATGGACAGCGAGTGGCAACCAATGGGGGACACCCATTGTCACCCTATGGGGGGCACCGACTGTGACGCCGATTGTCACCCTATGGGGGACACCCATTGTCACCCTATGGGGGGCACCGACTGTGACGCCGATTGTCACCCTATGGGGGACACCCATTGTCACCCTATGGGGGGCACCGACTGTGACGCCGATTGTCACCCTATGGGGGACACCCATTGTCACCCTATGGGGGGCACTGACTGTGACGCCGATTGTCACCCTATGGGGGACACCCATTGTCACCCTATGGGGGGCACCGACTGTGACGCCGATTGTCACCCTATGGGGGACACCCATTGTCACCCTATGGGGGGCACCGACTGTGACGCCGATTGTCACCCTATGGGGGACACCCATTGTCACCCTATGGGGGGCACTGACTGTGACGCCGATTGTCACCCTATGGGGGACACCCATTGTCACCCTATGGGGGGCACCGACTGTGACGCCGATTGTCACCCTATGGGGGACACCCATTGTCACCCTATGGGGGGCACTGACTGTGACGCCAATTGTCACCCTATGGGGGTCACCGACCGTGACGCCGATTGTCACCCTATGGGGGACACCGACTGTGATGCTGATTGTCACCCTATTGAGGATACCCATTGTCACCCTATGGGGAGCACCGACTGTGACGCCGATTGTCACCCTATTGGGGACACCCATTGTCACCCTATTGAGGATACCCATTGTCACCCTATGGGGGACACCCATTGTCACCCTATTGAGGATACCCATTGTCACCCTATGGGAGACACCCATTGTCACCCTATTGAGGATACCCATTGTCACCCTATGGGGGACACCCATTGTCACCCCCTTGAGGACACCAGGACAGTGTCTGGTGACTGTCACCCCCCTGGGGACACCGACTGTGATGCCAGCATTGACCACCCCACATCCACTGAGTGTGAGCCCCACGAGGGACACTGAATGTCAGCCCTATGGGGCACCGCTCTGTGACACTGTCACCTACAGCCCCACAGCAACACCCCCCACAGGGCTGTTGGGTTGTGCCTGGGGTAGGTTTGGGGGCTCTTTTCAGGGTGGTGTGGGTCCAGGTGAGTTTTGGGGTCTCACATATGGGTCTGATGGAGGATGTGGGGTGTTGCAGTGGGTCGGGTTGTGATTGGGGGGGGGTCGTTTTGAGGGTTTTGTTGGGTTTTGGGGTGTTGGGGGGGGTTTAGGGGTATCATGGGGATGAATGTGGGGTGTCACAGGGTCAGGGTGGGGGTTTGGGGGTCAGGGCTGGTGGTTGGGGGTGCTTTGGCTGTGGTTGGGGGGCGTTGTTAGGGTGCTGTTGGGTACAGGTGGGGTTTGGGGGGTGGGGGGTGGGGGTTCAGGTGTCCCCCTCCCCCCGTTGTATTAAATACGTTGTGAGTGTCAACGCTTCTCATTGGTTGTACCTGCGGTGTGGGGCAGGGCTGTACCCCACATACCCCCCATAGACACCCCCCCCCCCACCCCATAGACCCCCATACACACCCGACATAGACCCCCATGCACCCCATATACATCCAGTATGCACCACACGTACACCCCATACATACCCCATATTCACCCCATATACACCCCATGTGTACCCACATACACCCTATATACACCCCCTATATACCCATACACCCCATATACACCCCCCTACACACGCATACACCCCATAAACCCCATACACCCCACATACACCCCCCTACACACGCACACACCCCATATACACCCCATATAGACCCCACATACACCCCACATACACACCATATACTCCCCATACACCCCATATACACTCCATATAGACCCCACATACACCCCATATACACCCCATATATACCCCATATACACCCCACATACACCCTACATACACCCCACATACACCCCATATACACCCCATACACCCCATATACACCCCATACACACCCCACATAGACCCTATATACACCCCACATACACCCCAAATACACCCCACAGACCCCACATACACCCCACATATACTCCACATATATCCCATAGACACCCCATATACACCCCATATATACCCCATATACACTCCATATACACCCCACATAGACCCCATATACACCCCATACACACCCCACATACACCCCATGTACTCGATATCCACCCCATACACCCCAAATACACCTCACAGACCTCACATACACCCCACATACACCCCCTACACCCCAAATACACCCCACATACACCCCCTACACCCCATATACACCCCATACACTCCACATACACCCCACATACACCCCCTATACACCCCACATACACCCCACTAAAGGGGGTCCATTGCCCCTTTAAGAGCTCCCCCCCCACACAGGGGGGAGGCGGGGCTGTTTCCCACCGCTTCCCCATCACCATGGCAACGGGGGGGTGACGTCACCACGTGGGGGCCTTAAAAGGCGATGGGGCGGTCTCACGCGGGCCACGCCCCCTCTAAGCCCCGCCCCTCGCTCTAAGCCCCTCCCCCCCTCCAGTCTCCGCCCCCTGGCGGCCGGGAGGACCCGCACGTGCGTTACGTGGGCCCCATGTTACATGTCACGTGTGTCATACGTGTCACAGGCGTCATGTGACGTGTCAGGTGTCACGCTACGTCATACATGTACTGGAGCACACGTGTCACCCTAGGTCATGTGGCCCCATGTCAATTCTGAGGCCAAAACCTGCTTTTTTGGGTCCAAACCCCCTTTTTTGGGGTCCAAACCCCCATTTTTAATACCCCCAAGCCTCGATTTTGCCTCCAAAACCTGATTTTTGGGCTCTCAACTCATTTTTTGGGGTAAAACGGTGCGGTTTTAGGCTCCAAACCCTCACTTTTGGGTCCAACCCCCCATTTTCAGGGCTCAACCCCCAATTTGAATGCTCAAACCTCTTATTTTAAGGCTCTAAACCCTGTTTTAGGGTAAAAAATGCACTTTTTACCACATCAACTCTCAGTTTTAGGGTGTAAAACTTCATTTTTGGGGTCCATTCCCCCTTTTTAAGGTAACCCCCCACATTTTGGGGGTCTAAACCCTCCTTTTTTGGCTCTAAACCCTCCTTTTTTGGGCCCAAATCCCTCATTTTGGAGCCCAAACCTCCTGTTTTTAGGGTCTAAACCTCTGCTCGTTGCCTCAAAACCCCACATTGTGAGGGTCTAGAGCGTGGTTTTGGGTACCAAACCCCCATTTTAGGGTCTTTGGGGCTAAACCCCTGCATTTTTAGGCTATAAACCCCAAATGGCTCATTTTGGGGTCGAAATGCCTCCTTTTTGGGTCAAAAGCCTTCATTTTGGAGGTCGAAACCTTCATTTCTTGGGTCTAACCTCTCATTTTGAGGACAAAAAGCTCACTTTGGGGTCCAAGCCCTCTTTTCTTTGCGGGAAAAGCTCATTTTTAGGACCAAATCCCTCATTTTTGGGTCAAAACCCCTCGTTTTAGGGACCAACCCCTCATTTTTGGGTCAAAACCCCTCGTTTTAGGGACAAACCCCTCATTTTTGGGTCAAAATCCCTCGTTTTAGGGACCAATCCCTCATTTTTGGGTCAAAATCCCTCGTTTTAGGGACCAACCCCTCATTTTTGGGTCAAAATCCCTCGTTTTAGGGACCAATCCCTCATTTTGGGGTCAAACCCCCTCATTTTAGGGACCAATCCCTCATTTTTGGGTCAAAATCCCTCGTTTTAGGGACCAATCCCTCATTTTTGGGTCAAAACCCCTCGTTTTAGGGACCAATCCCTCATTTTTGGGTCAAAATCCCTCGTTTTAGGGACCAACCCCTCATTTTTGGGTCAAAATCACTCGTTTTAGGGACCAATCCCTCATTTTTGGGTTAAAAATCCCTCGTTTTAGGGACCAACCCCTCATTTTTGGGTCAAAATCCCTCGTTTTAGGGACCAATCCCTCATTTTTGGGTTAAAATCCCTCGTTTTAGGGACCAACCCCTCATTTTTGGGTCAAACCCCCTCGTTTTAGGGACCAATCCCACATTTTTGGGTCAAAATCCCTCGTTTTAGGGACCAATCCCACATTTTTGGTTCAAAATCCCTCGTTTTAGGGACCAACCCCTCATTTTTGGTTCCAAACCCCTCATTTTAAGTGACATTCCTCTTTATCGGGGTCTAACCCTTCATTTGGGGCCAAAACCTTCATTCTTGGGTCCATTCCCTTCCTTTTTGGGGCCAAATTCGCCTTTTTAAGGCCTCAACCTCCCCCCCCCCCATCTCACCCCCCCTTGTTGCCATGGGAACAGACGGGCGCGCCCTGCCGTGACGTCACGGGTCAGCAGCCAATCGTGGCGCGGCTCCGCGGTTGTTGCTGGGAGGGGCCTGGGGAGGACGCGGCACGCGCGGGGGGCGGGGCTTCCGGCGGGGGGCGTGGCTTCCGGGCGCACGTGCAGTCCCGCGCGCTGCCGCCGGGGGGGGCGGGGCTTGGTCTGGCCACGCCTCCCCCCCCCCTCTCCTCCCATCTCGCTCTGCTGCGTTCTCATTGGCTGGAGCCCGGCTGCGGCGCCTGCTATTGGCTGGAATGGAGGGGCGGGATTGGAGCGGCCGGTCCCAGTGTCAGGCTGTACTGGGACCCAGTGTCACCCAATGACACCCTGTACTGGAACCAGTGTCACCCAGTGTCACCCAATGACACCCTGTACTGGGACCAGTGTCACCCAGTGTCACCCAGTGTCATCCAGTGCCACCCAGTGTCACCCAGTGTCACCTTATACTGGTCCCAGCGTCGCCCAGTGTCATCCAGTGTCACCCAGTGTCACCCTATACTAGTCCCAGCGTCACCCAGTGTCATCCAGTGTCACCCAGTGTCACCCTATACTGGTCCCAGTGCCACCCAGTGTCACCCAATGTCACCCAGTGTCACCCTATACTGGTCACATTGTCACCTAGTGTCACCCAGTGTCACCCAGTGTCGCCCTATACTGGTTCCAGTGTCACCTAGTGTCACCCAGTGTCACCCAGTGTCACTCAGTGTCACCCTATAGTGGTCCCAGTGTCACCCAGTGTCACCCAATGTCACCCAGTGTCACTCAGTGTCACCCAATGTCACTCAGGGTCACCCAGTGTCACCCAATGTCACCCAGTGTCACCTAGTGTCACCCAGTGTCACCCTATAGTGGTCCCAGTGTCACCCAATGTCACCCAATGTCACCCAGTGTCACGCTATACTGATCCCAGTGTCACCCACTGTCACCCAGTGTCACCCAGTGTCACCCTATAGTGGTCCCAGTGTCACCCAATGTCACCCAATGTCACCCAGTGTCACCCTATACTGGTCCCAGTGTCACCTAGTGTCCCCCAGTGTCCCCCAGTGTCATCCAGTGTCACCCAGTGTCACCCCATACTGGTTCCAGTGTCACCCAGTGTCGCCCAGTGTCACCCAATGACACCCTGTACTGGGACCAGCACTGTCCCATCCTGCTCCCAGTGCCTCCCAGTCTCAGTGTCACCCTGTACTGGGACTGAACTGGTGCTAATGTCACCCTGTGACACCCTATACTGGTCCCAGTGTCACCCAGTGTCACCCTATACTGGTCCCAGTGTCACCCAGTGTCACCCTATACTGGTCACAGAGTCACCCAGTGTCACCCAGTGTCACCCTATACTGGTCCCAGTGTCACCCAGTGTCACCCTATACTGGTCACAGAGTCACCCAGTGTCACCCAGTGTCACCCAGTGTCACCCAATGTCACCCAGTGTCCCCCAGTGTCACCCTGTACTGGTCCCACCACCGTTCCCTACTGCTCCCAGTGTCACCTTGTCCCAGCAGTGTCTTGCTCCCATTCTCCACCCTATTCCCAATCCCATCCCAATCCTATGCCCATCCCCACTCCAGTTGCCCATTTCCAACCCAATCCCATTCCCATTTCCCATTCTGCACTTCCCATCCCATCCCATCCCCAATTCCCCATCCCCCATCCCATCCCCAATTCAATCCCATTCCCCATCCCATCCCCAATTCAATCCCATTCTCATTCCCATTCCCCATCTCATTCCCAATTCCCAGTCCCAATCCCGTCCTCAATCCCATCCCATTCCATGGAATCCACCCTATCCCATCCCATTCCCATTCTCAAACACATCCCCATCCCATTCCCCATCCCATCCCCAATCCCATCCCCAGTTTCCCATTCCCAATTGCCAGTCCAATCCCATCCCCATCCCCATCCCATTCCCAATCCCATCCCCAGTTTCCCATTCCCCATTCCATTCCCAATTCAATCCCATTCCCCATCCCATTCCCCATCTCATTCCCAATACCATTCCCAATCCCATCCCATCCCATAGGATCCACCCAATCCAAATCCAATCCCATTCCCCATCCCATTCCCCATCCAATCCCATCCCATCCCATAGGATCCACACAATTCAATCCCATTCCTCAACCCATTCCCCATCCCATCCCCAATCCCATTCCCAATCTAATCCCATTCTCCATCTCATTCCCAATCCCATTCCCCATCCCATCCCATAGGATCCACCCCATCCCCATCCCCATCCCATTCCCCATTCCATCCTATCCCAATTCCATCCCAATCCCATCCCATTCCCATCCCCATTCTCATTCCCATCCCATCCCATCCCATCCCATCCCATCCCATCCCATCGAATCCACCCAACCCCATCCCATCCCCCATTCCCATCCCTATCCCACAGAATCCACCCCATCCCCATCCCCATCCCCATCCCATTCCCCATCCCATCCCAATTCTATTCCAATGCCATCCCATTCCCATCCCATCCCAATCCCATCCCCAATCCCATCCCATCCCATCCCAATCCCATCCCCAATCCCATCCCATCCCATTCCCCATCCCATTCCCAATCCCATTCCATCCCATAGGATCCACTCAAACCCATCCCAATCCCATCCCCAATCCCATCCCATTCCCCATCCCATTCCCCATCCCAATCCCATCCCATCCCATAGGATCCACCCAATCCCATCCCATTCCCCATCCCAATCCCATCCCATCCCGTAGGATCCACCCAATCCCATCCCATTCCCATCCCCATTCCCATTCCCATATCCCATCCCATCCCATCCCATCCCATAGGATCCACCCACCCCCATCCCATTCCATTCCCATCCCATCCCAATCCCATTCCAATGCCATCCCATCCCAATCCCATTCCCCATTCCCATCCCATTCCCCATCCCAATCCCATCCCATCCCATTCCCATTCCCATCCCATTCCCCTCCCATTCCCCATCCCATCCCCATCCCATTCCCATCCCATCCCCATCCCCACCCCATTCCCAATCCCATTCCCAATCCCAATCCCATTCCCACCCCATCCCCATCCCACCCCTCCACTCCTCCCACCCACCAGGGGGCGCCCGCCTCCCTCCTCTCCTCGCGTGCACACTCGGGGGGGGGGGGGGTGTGGGCGTGCCCTCATCTCGGTGGGCGTCTCCCGGAGGCGTGGCCAAGCGGGGCGTTGAGGCGTGGGGGGCGTGGCTTCTCCGCGGGTATATAAGGAGGCGGGGCAGCGGGGGCGTGCCCAGACGGGCGGTGGGCGGGGCGCGGGGCGGGCGGGGCGCGCGGCGCTGGGTCCTTTGTTTGAGCGAGGCCGGAGCTCAGCGGAGCCGACACCGACCGCGGGGCCGGGACCGGGACCGGGACCGGGGCCGGGACCCGCCGCTTCCCTTCCCCTTCCTGCAACCCCCCCCCCCTCCCCATTTCCCTTCCCGTTCATCTCCCAACCGGGCCCCGCCGCAGGTAACCGGGATATGGGGGGGGGGGGGAAGGGTTGAGGCCTTTGGGGGGGGGGGGGGTGGGGGTGAATGTATTGGAGTGTATTGGGGGGGTCAATGTGGGGCTCGGCTGCTTATGGGGTGTGTGGGGTGAGTTATGGGGGTCCTGGCCCCCCCCCCCCCCACGGTGCTGAGGTAATTGAAGGGGTTTGGGTGGTTTTGGGGGGGGCAAACCTGAGGTAAATTGGGGGGGGGATGAGGGAAATGGGGGGGGGTGAACGTTGTGAATGGGGGGGGTTGGTGGTTTTGAGGTGAATTTGGGGGGGTTGGGGTGAATTTGGGGGGGGTGAGGTGAATTTAGGGGTTTTTGAGGTGAATTGGGGGGGTTTATGAGGTGAATTTGGGGTTTATGAGGTGAATTTAGGGTTTTTTGAGGTGAATTGGGGGGGGTTGAGGTGAGTTGAGGGGGGTGAGGTGAGTTGAGGGGGGTGAGGTGGATTTGGGGGGGATTGAGGTGAATTTGGGGGTTTAGGAGGTGAATTTGGGGGGTTTATGAGGTGAATTTTGGGGGTTTGAGGTGGATTTGGAGGTTTCAGGTGAATTTGGGGGTTTATGAGGTGAATTTAGGGTTTTTTGAGGTGAATTGGGGGGTTTATGGGGTGAATTTTGGGGGTTTGAGGTGGATTTGGAGGTTTCAGGTGAATTTGGGGGTTTATGAGGTGAATTTAGGGTTTTTTGAGGTGAATTGGGGGGTTTATGGGGTGAATTTTGGGGGTTTGAGGTGGATTTGGGGTTTTCAGGTGAATTTGGGGGTTTATGAGGTGAATTAAGGGTTTTTTGAGGAGAATTGGGGGGTTTATGAGGTGAATTTAGGGTTTATGAGGTGAATTTGGGGGGGTTGAGGTGGATTCGGAGTTTTCAGGTGAATTTGGGGGTTTATGAGGTGAATTTAGGTTTTTTTGAGGTGAATTGGGGGGTTTATGAGGTGAATTTAGGGTTTTTTGAGGTGAATTTAGGGTTTATGAGGTGAATTTAGGTTTTTTTGAGGTGAATTGGGGGGTTTTGAGGTGAATTTGGGGGTTTATGAGGTGAATTTGGGGGTTTATGAGGTGAATTTGGTTTTTTTGATGTGAATTTTGGGGTTTATAAGGTGGATTTGGGGGTTTATGGGGTGAATTTGGGGTTTTGAGGTGAATTTGGGGGTTTATGAGGTGAATTTGGGGTTTTTGAGGTGAATTTGGGGGTTTATGAGGTGAATTTATTTTTTTGGAGGTGAATTTGGGGGTTTATGTGGTGAATTTGGGGTTTTTGAGGTGAATTTGGGGTTTATGAGGTGAATTTAGGGGATTCAGGTGAATTTGGGGGTATTGAGGTGAATTTAGGGTTTTTTTGAGGTGAATTTGGGGGTTTATGAGGTGAATTTGGGGGTTTATGTGGTGAATTTGGGGTTTTTGAGGTGAATTTGGGGTTTATGAGGTGAATTTGGGGGGATTCAGGTGAATTTGGGGGTATTGAGGTGAATTTAGGGTTTTTTTGAGGTGAATTTGGGGGTTTTGAGGTGAATTTTGGGGTTTATGAGGTGAATTGGGGGTTTTTGAGGTGAATTTGGGGTTTATGAGGTGAATTTAGGGGGATTCAGGTGAATTTGGGGGTATTGAGGTGAATTTAGGGTTTTTTTGAGGTGAATTTAGGGTTTTTTTGAGGTGAATTTGGGGGTTTATGAGGTGAATTTGGCGGTTTTGAGGTGAACTTGGGGGGTTTTGAGGTGAATTTGGGGGTTTTGAGGTGAATTTAGTGTTTTTAGAAGTGAATTTGGGGGGGGTTGAAGTGAATTTGGCGGTTTATGAGGTGAATTTGGGGGTTTATGAGGTGAATTTAAGGTTTTTTGAGGTGAATTTGGTTTTTTTTAGGTGATTTGGGGGGTTTATGAGGTGATTTGGGTGTTTTTGAGGTGAATTTGGGTGTTTTTGAGGTGAATTTGGGGGTTTTGAGGTGTATTTGGGGGTTTTGAGGTGAATTTGGGGGGTTTTGTGGTGAATTTGGTGTTTTTGAGGTGAATTTGGGGTATTTTGAGGTGAATTATGGGGGTCTGAGCCTCTTGGGGGGGTCACTGCTGAGGTAAACGGGGGGTTTGGCCCCTCTGAGGTGATTTTGGGGGGTGGTTTGAGGTAAATGGGGGGGGTTGAACCTCTTTAAAGTGATTTTTGGCTGTTTCTGGGGTGATTTTTGAGGTGAATTCGAGGGTTTTTTGTCCCTGTTGAAATGAATTGGGGTGATCTGAGGTAAACTGAAGGGTGGGGGAGGGGGCTGACCCCATTGGGGGGGTCAAACCTGAGGTAAATGGGGGGGGGATTGGTCCTTTTGGGGTGATTTTAGGTGGTTTTGGGGCCCTGTGAGGTCATTTTGGGGGGTATCTGAGGTAAATGTGAAGGGGTTTGGGGCCAGGAGGTGAATGGGGGCGGGTTTGGGCCTCCTTAAGGTGATTTTGGGTCAGTTTTGAGTGTTTCTGAGGTAAATTCGATATTTCTGGGGTGAATTTTGGTGTTTCGGAGATAAATGGGGAGGTTTGGGCCCCGGGAGGTGAATTTGGGGGGGGTTGAGGTGATTTTGGGGGTTTCTGAAGTAAATTTCATGGTTTTGGACCTCCTAAAGGTGAATTTATGGGCTTCTGAGGTAAATTTTGGGGGGGTTGGGCCCCAAGAGGTGAATCCAGGGGGTTCTGAGGTAAATTATGGGGGTCTGACCCCATTGGGGGGGTCAAACCTGAGGTAAATGGGGCTGTTAGACCCCAATAGGTGATTCTGGGGCTATTTGAGGTGATTTTGGGGCTATTTGAGGTGACTTTTGGTGTTTATAGAAGGAATTGGGGGGTTCTGACCCCATTGGGGTGCATTGGGGGGGTCAAACCTTCAGTAAATGGGGGTGTTTAGATCCCAGTAGGTGGTTTTGGGGCTATTTAAGGTGATTTTGGGTGCTTATAGAATGAACTGGGGGCTTCTGACCCCATTGGGGTGCTTTGGGGGGGGGTGTCAAGCCTGAGGTAAATGGGGCTGTTAGACCCCAATGAGGTGTTTTGGGGGCTATTTGACATGATTTGGGGGGTATTTGAGGTGATTTTGGGTGTTTATAGAATGAATTGGGGGGTTCTGACCTCATTGGGTTGCTTTGGGGGGTCAGACCTGAGGTAAATTGGGCTGGTAGACCCCAATAGGTGATTTTGAGGCTATTTGAGGTGATTTTGGGTGTTTATAGAACGAACTGGGGGGTTCTGACCCCATTGGGTTGCATTGGTCGGGTCAAACCTTAAGTAGATGGGGCTGTTAGGCCCCAATATGTGATTTTGGGGCTATTTGAGGTGATTTTGGGGCTATTTGAGGTGATTTTTGGTGTTTATAGAATGAATTGGGGGGTTCTGACCCCATTGGGTTGCATTGGTCGGGTCAAACCTTAAGTAAATGGGGCTGTTAGGCCCCAATATGTGATTTTGGGGCTATTTGAGGTGATTTGGGGGCTATTTGAGGTGATTTTTGGTGTTTATAGAATGAATTGGGGGGTTCTGACCCCATTGGGTTGCATTGGTCGGGTCAAACCTTAAGTAAACGGGGCTGTTAGGCCCCAATATGTGATTTTGGGGCTATTTGAGGTGATTTTGGGGTTATTTGAGGTGATTTTGGGGCTATTTGAGGTGATTTTGGGGCTATTTGAGGTGATTTTTGGTGTTTATAGAATGAATTGGGGGGGGTCTGATCCCTTTGGGGTGCATTGGAGGGGTCAAACCTTTAGTAAATGGGGGTCTTAGATCCCTATAGTTGATTTTGGGGCTATTTGAGGTGATTTTGGGTGTTTATAGAATGAATTGGGGGGGGTCTGACCCCATTAGGGGGGTCTTGGGTTGATACAAAGTGGGGGCCCTGTCCCTATTGGGGTGCCCCCTTTTCCCCCCTCATTGCCCCATTGCCCTGGGCTGGGCCTGGCTGGGTGTGGAGCTGCGATAAGGGGAGGGTGTGGGAGCAATGGGGCAGGGCCAGAGCTGTACTGGGAGCACTGGGTGCTGCACTGGGAGCAATGGGGCTGAGCCAGAGCTGTACTGGGAGCACTGGGAGCTGCACTGGGATCAATGGGGCAGAGCCAGAGCTGCACTGGGAGCACTGGGGCAGAGCCAGAGCTGCACTGGGAGCACTGGGAGCTGCACTGGGAGCACTGGGGCAGAGCCAGAGCTGCACTGGTAGTACTGTGGCAGTGTGATAGCTGCACTGGGAGCACTGGGAATGGGAGGGATGGATACTGGGAGCACTGGGAATGGAGATAACGGGTAATGGCCATACTGGGAGCTGGTACTGGCCGTACTGGTTATACTGTGAGCAGCTCCTTATAGATCCCAGTCTGGGACTGGGAATGGAGGGGGGCTCCCAGTGCTCCCAGTAACCATGTTCCCCCTGCTGAGATCCCACCATGGCTGGAGCCTAGCCCCCCCCCCCCCCCCCCCCCCCACTGGACCCACTGCATGTGAGTGAACACGCGTGTGTAGGGGGGTTACATGTGTGTCCATGTGTGTGTCCACATGTGTGTCCATATGCACACGCGTGCGTAGGGGGGTTACATGTGTGTCCATGTGCACACGTGTGTGCAGGGGGTCATGTGACGTGGGTATGTCTGCACACGCCTGTGCAGAGCGGTACATGCGAGGTCATGTGTGTGCAGCACGTGTGCTGGCTGATACATGTACGTGTGTGTACACGTGTGTAATCAGGTGGTGTTGTCACGTGCACATGGGTTCTGCATACATGCATGTAAAGGTGTGTCTGGGCGCACATGTGAGTGTCTACATGTTAGTGTCTACATGTTAGAACACGTGTGTGTCTACATGTGGGTGTCTACATGTTAGAACACGTGTGCATGCGTCTGCGTGGTGGTGTACATGTGTGTAAAGAGATGTTATGGCAGGCACACGTGTGTACACGTGTGCACATGGGTGTTTTGTTGCGCACACGTGGTCTGTTACACGTGTGTGGTGTTGCGTGTTAC